TGTAGTGTATTATAAATTGAGCAACGTTTCAGAGGTACTTATTGCCTTCAATATCAAGGTGATCCAGTTTAATATTTGGAGGCTGGTTACAAAGTCCATTTCATTCGTAAACCATACTAGAGCTGCGCGTATCCGCGTGGTTAAATTTGGCGGAATCCCGTGTAAATGTTTGTTACCTCTACGTTCTTCCGGGATTTACAATTTTAAACGTTACTTTGGACCCTTTTCACTGTGTTTTGTTTATTTTCGATTCTGTCATTTCCTGTGCTGACCTCTTAGCTGAAACTGTACTTTGCGTTTTGTGCTTGTGTGTAGTGTAACATGTATTGTGTGCTTTGACTTTGATAATTGATAGTACTGAATGCATGACTGAAGCCCTATATATCCCTGGTCCCTTATTGTATCGACCATACATTGTTTCCACTGTGATTGTTTATCCCAGTGCTCTACTATTGTGTAAGAGCTTTCGAACTGTGGTTTGAGACCTCAAATGTTCTGTAATGCATTTTGTAACGCCTTAATTATGTTTTTCTCCATAACTTACGATAGAAGCTTGTGCATTCGATTTAACGATGGCCCGAAGTAATATTTCAGTGCAGTGCTCCCCACAGATATTAAAATTCATGTCAACCTGCAGCTGAAAGTAGTTGGGGTTAGAGAGAGCGGGTTTGTGTGTTACCCACACGTGAAACGTTCTTCCTGAATGATTGCAATTGCATTTACAGTGGAAACAAAGTACAACAGCAATAGAACACGGAAAGCAAGGTCGAATCCATTGTGTTTTAATCAGTGAATTTTTATTATGTTACAGCAAGTGTAATATATTAATATTTATTCTTGTTATCAATTGCGAATCAATGATGTGCCCTGCTTGGCATCTACAGATATAAATGTAAGTTTGTGCAGTGCATAAGACACGAATCCTCGAAGGGCAAATATTGCAGTGGACATGGAAGTACGAGTCGTTGTCAAGACGACGTGGGGACTTTGTAAAGACCTTTATTTTATTTATTTTTTCCCCCAACTTTGAATTTGTTCTTGTCTCGCTCATCCGCTCTTGCGTTTACCTGAATGTTTCTTTGGCTTCTCTGTTTTGTCTTGTGTTTGAGACCTCTTTCTTTTTAATGTGTGCATTCCTCTATGAGAACTTGTGTTTTGCCGTTGTTACTAACGGGAAGGCGTCATAGTGACACTTCGTTTCACATGATGCGTTTTAGAAGGGTTAGCATTCATTGTAGAGAAATGTGTGTTTCTATTAATACGGTTGGAGCTTTCCTTAACTCGGCCATGCATCTTTGCTTATTCTCCAACTGTGCACGTGAAATTTAAGCTGTGCATGTCGGCATATGCCAACTCATAATTTCGGAGAAAGTGGTTCAGAAAGACGTAAATTAAACAGTAGGAGATAAAATAATATTGTGGGAGTGTAGTAAATACACGTGTCAGGATTTACAGTATTATCGTATTGTTTTAAATTTACGTAGATTAATAATAATTTGTTATTCTTTTAAATTAACAGTAGATAAATAATCACTATTGTTATTAACTGTATATTTTTAAAGAAATATTGAAGTAAAATAGTTGCTGTGCGCACACAACGATTAATCCACTAGCATATTGCCTGAAACTATAGCACTTGGATTGAGTTCTGGCCTTGGATGTAAATACACAGCTACCACAATAAGGAATACTATGCGTTCTTCTCCCCCCCACCCCCCAAGAAAAGCCAAATAAACGTACTTATTTTTTTTCTTTAATTTCAACCCCCGAAGTTCCGAAATTGTGCAGTGTACCACCAAACCTGCATACGGTTTTTTGTATATAGTTTTTTTTTGTTTTCTTTCTATTTTTTAGTTGGAGAAAATTTCCATTTTTATTTCAGATGTGGTTCAATGTCCAACTGCAGTGTGCCTGTCAGCAGTGCAGTTTTCGAGGATGCGTGTCCCGACACTCACAAATACATTGAAGTGCATTATAACTGCATGCTAGGTTGGTCCTCCAATTTAAGATACATAAGTCGACGCGAAGTGTGTCATGTCGCCATGTTTCTCATGTTTCGATACAAAGTCGATTATTGCCTTTTTATTTCTCGATAATGCCGATTGCACCCTTTTACTTTTTGCATTCCTTTTCCGGTCCTGTGGACCAGAAAACTAGTTGCTTGAGCGTCCTAGAGACGCCAGCTGTTGCATTGCACTATACCATGCCTAGGGCAGAGAGGGTGAGATCAGGCATCACCAGGGGAACAATGCACCTAAAACCTGGCCTTCGTTTCGTGGGTTTGCCGCTAGATAGCGGCTGCTACCAAACTCCTTTGTTCCTTGTGTCGCTCTCCATACTAGCTCGCTTCTTGACCCGGACAGCTTGCAATATGATGCTGTTTGACAATGTCGCTGTAATGTTGAAACACTTGCCAGGTGGCAGCACTGTCCAGCGGAGAAGCGACACACTCGGCAAATCGGCGCACTGTGAGAAACATTTTGTGAACTTTTGCGATATGGCGCGACTTCAAATTATGGTGTAGAATGAGTTCGGTATGACCCCTAGCAGCAAACTAAATTTTTTTTCGTGTATCATCTCTCACATTTTTGACCTTTTTAAAGTGGTATTTACCAAATTGATAGACATAATAATAACAGCACAGATTTGCGAACTCCATAGTCTGCAGTTTCTTCAGGTACCTAACCACAACCTTCACGCGCAATTAGCCAAGATTAGGGCCATTTGATTGTGAAATTACATTTTTAAGTTTCTCTACCAATAGGCAAGTAGATGCAATATTTCAGTAAAGAGATGGCAGGAATTTTTTCTGATCACAATATCCAGATAGCTGTAGGACCTAACCCGGACTTGTGTAAGACAGAAATAGCCGAAGCATGGATCTGACCACTTTGCTCAGTATTGCACTGAGGTTGAGTTGAGGGGTCCTGCTTATAAACCTTTGTGGCACAAGGGCAGCCATTAATTTTGGCCTGTTCTTATTCTTTCTCTTCTATTAAGACATGCTCAAAACAACGACTAAAACGCATTCTGATTTGTGTTCTTGTGCTTAATGGTCAAGTTAATTTTTCAGAAATGTACTGCTCTGCAGTGTGTTTTGTTTTGTAGTTCCCACAGTGAAAACAAGACTGTCTCCTAAATGAGAAATTGCTGCTAGACGGTTCCCGAACCTAGTCCACAACCAGGGCACATCATTGCGTTTGGTGCAATTGGTGTGAAATATTCATAGGATTAGTGTTTTCTATTTTTATTACCAGATGTAGCCAGCAGCAGAATTGCAGCATTCTTGCGAGCACAAGTTTGTTTGGTGATCCATGCCCGGGCACTCTTAAATATTTAGAGGCACACTATCAATGTATGCCAGGTATGGTTAATCTTTCAGTATGGTAATGAAAATGAGGTTGCTTAATCAGTGTGGGTCAACAAACAAGGGCATGGCATGTTGTCTGTTAATGCAATATCACGTGAATGGATCTGTGAAAAGCGCAAAGACTGAAGGGCCATAGAACATGTACTACACAGCAACAATTTCAAAGCGAAAAACCCAATTTTATGAGGTATATCGGTATAGAAGTATAGTCGGCGAAGTAGTTTTTGGCCGGTGGAATTTTCAAGGGGAAGGCTAGGAGCGAGTCTCGGACTGAACGCCCAAACAAAAGAAATACGCTGACCGTGCCACCTCAGGTACACAGAGTAGGCCCGTCCGCCAGCTTCTCCACCGGCCAAAAACTACCAAAAATGTTTAAATACTAAAGAATATCACTGTGAAACTTTAATAACTTTTCCCCCCCAACAACCTTACTAGTGAACATTAATAACGTCCCGGGTTCGATTCCCGGCGGTGCTCAGATTTACAACTGGTGTTGGACAAGGCCGTGGTCCAGGCATCACGGAGTTTTCCTCCGGGGTTTCTCCGTGGCATCCCAATAATTACTTCACTTTCATCATCATCGCGTAAAAAAAGGGGGTCACAGCAGGAGCGTTAAATGTCGCGGTCCCTGTCGAACCCATGTACTGATGGGTCGTGACGTTGGTATTTATTCTGGGACATTTGAAATTGTTGCATTTCTGTGGAAGAAAAGCATGGCCAGCATGTTATCAGTTTGGGTAAATGAAATGTTAAAATGGTGGAATAACATGACTTTGGTTTTGAAAATGTCTAAAATCAATATAATTTCAATGTGTATTTTTATGGTCATTTTGCAAAGATTTGTAAATATTCATGTTATCACTGCAGTGTTAATAAAATTAGATTAAATTTTTTTTGATGCTGTGTTATGGCAAACAGAATTTTCAGTATTTACTTTCTGACTGTATAGTTTCATGTCTCAAACCACCTGTAAATCTGTTTGTAATTTCTGTTATTATTAAGTGAAGATTCAGGTTCTTCAGCTTTGTAATAGTTAATTAATTTTTCAGAGTTTGTATGTTTCTGGCCTGCACTTTAAAATCTCTTGGTTTCTTGTGGCCACTGGATTATGCTCTGTTTGGCAAACCACACAGTCACCCAGTTACTAAAATCAAAATTTTGCCTTGGCGGGTTCTGTGGCATGCAGATACTTTGGATGGTTTTGTACGAGAGTTCTGGATTTTTAACATATGGAATTAAAATTAAATTATTTGGTTATTCCGTCAAATCACAATGTATTTAAAATAAGATAATTAAAATAATTAAAATATAATTGTGTTCCATATCGAATAATCGATTTACAACATGTTTCGGTTTTATTAAACCATCATCAGGTGTAAAATTGTTATTATTTTAATTTAATAAATCACAATATGACGCAACTACACTATTTTAACATATGGAAGAAAAATAGAAGTATCGAATTTAAATTTCTAATTTGGAACAAACAAACTTAATTAGATCTGTATTCTGCTTGTATTCAAGGGGCTTGTTAATTGGTGAAAGGAGAGTGATATTCAAGTGGCTGTTAATATCTTGTTATTCTTCTGCACTTGGGAATATTAATTTCTTTTATAATTGATTGGTTATATTGAATGTCAAAACTAATTGTAGATAATGAAGAAAAGTTTACTTTAACATCATTGCAGCATCATCGACCACAACAACCAGTCGTCCAAGTCCACCGTGGCTGACCACTTCTCAGCCAAGTGTGTGGAGCACAGGCAAGTCAGCCACTCTTCGGCCACCGCCACCACAAAAATCACCCAGCACCCTAGACGGTCCACCCGTCACTACTACAGCAACAAGTAGTGTTGCCACACAGGCACCTGGATCATCTAGCACGAGGGTTCCACTTCCTGTAGTAGCATCAGAAGGCGCATCCAGACAGGCTGTCACAGAAACACAACCACCACCTCTGGGGGGCATGACTACTGTAACTGCATCTACAGTAACCCTAGCCTGGAAGACAACCCACAGGACAACAGGTACATCACATGCTGTTACAGATACTTCTCATTTCTTGCTTTTGTCTTTTTCATATTTCTCAGATATATTTGCATCTGTTAATACTTGAAGGTATTTTCTCTCACCACATTCATTCTCTCAAACTTTACCTCTCACTTTCTATGATAAAAAAATTATTACAAAAATTTATGTCAACTGCTTTTTATGAATATTTACAGTTACGTATTAGGAAGGACTTCTTGACATTTGAATTGTTATAGCATCATTCTTTTTAAAAAAACTGGCATTCTTCACTCCACAGCGTCCAGCACAGCGGTATTTGAATACGTGCCGTCACCAAGCGTGACGTGGTTTCAAGAAAATGATTTTCTTCAGCTGTGCAGTCCCATGTTGGCTAGAAATTTATATTGGAACTGGACACGAGCAGGAGAAGTAAATGTTCAGCCATGTCCTGGTGGTGCTACAGGTCTGGCAAGGTGGCGCTGTGTGACTCAATCACCAGGACGTTTGTCTGCTCCCGCATCAGGTTCTGGGTCCATGTCCTCTACCTCTCTTCCACCTGTCTGGTTGCCACACTCGCCTGACCTGAGTGAGTGTCGTTCAGTGTGGCTTACCAGTCTCGAGTCTCGCGTCGAAGAGGGAGACTCCATAATCAGCATTGCCAATGACTTGTCCCAGGTGACCAGTAGCAAGACTCTGTACGGCGGAGACATGATGACAACAACGAAGATCATCAAGAAGATGGCACAGAAGATGTCTGTTGATATAGAAACATTCCCAGATCCAAGACAAAGAGAGGCTATTGTGACAGAACTATTGTATGGTGTTGTGAAAACAGGGAGTAATTTACTTGATGAATCTCAGCATCCATCATGGAGAGACTTAAGTTACAAAGAACAGATGAGGGTAGCTACCTCACTTCTGATGGGTCTGGAGGAAAATGCGTTCCTCTTGGCCGACACAGTGATCAGGGAGAAGACTGTCACTCAGGCTGTGAGGAATATACGTAAGTAATAAACATTTGTTTGCTGTTGCCACATTGTGCAGTACCCTTCCTTCAGAATTATTTTTCTTCTTCTTCTATGGCTCTTCGGTCCATGGCCTCCTCAGTTCTCCTCTTCCATTCGGTCTGTCTGAAGCTTTGATTGAGGTTTCGAAACATCTTCCTTTTTACGGTGCAATGTTGTTAGCCTTGCGACCAACCCCCCACCAGGAGGACCAGGGTAATCAGATAACACTCAGCTGTCTTTCAAAACCATTCGCCCCGTTATTCCCAATCATCTGGTTCAGAATTGTTCACTGCCTCAAAGTGCTAGAAATAGAATGAAATGCAACGCAACAGGAAATTGCGTACAAAGACGAACTGTTTGAAAGCCAGCCTCGTATACAAATGAAGTAAAGTAAATTTGGAAGACATTCTAGAAGATTAATGCAAATTGTTGCTAATAATGAAGTTTATACTTGGATCACCTGCACAGGTGAAGAGTATTGTATAGATAAATTCAATTCATTTATTTAAGTGTTGCCAACAGCAAAATGTGCGTTAATAACAGTTTAAGTGTATTAATTAAGATTTTACCTGGTCTGCCTGTACAGATTGTACAGAATAAGAAATATAGATTGAAATAACATGCTTGGTAAGAATAATAATTTGGTTGTAGAGACTTCATTATAGAATCTTATTTCATGATTCAAAAGGACAAGAAAGAGTTCAATATTTTGCACATTGGAGAGCAGAGGAACAAGGTGCAGCACATGTAAGTTGATGTCATATTGCCACATTTGTTTTACACTTTGTGGTATTACAAAGTATTCTTGCAAATGAATGGTTTCACTTCCATAGTGAATCAATTTTATTTATTTCAGCTTTCTGACTTCAGTTACACCTTGGACTCCTACAGAAATTAGGCGTTTATGTGTATATGCATGTAATGCTCGTGACTGTTTCAATTCTTTTGCAGATGAGTTTTACCTATAATTAACAATGCCAGAATGACTGATGTTCGGAAATAATTAAATTTGTACAGTATATGCATTTAAATATTGTTTGAATACCTATGATTTTCTTTATAAGACGGCAGTAATGAGCATGATTTGTTACAGTGTTAAGTGTTCGTGTGGTTGAGACCCACAACGTAGCAGTGGAACAGTTCCCTTCATCTTCCACTTTGGAACAGTGGCCAGTGAGCCAGGATTGGCTGCAGCTTCCTCGTGGAGCTCTACTTGAGAATAGTGAAGGTGGATTTGTTCGCCTTGTGTTTGTGGCATTCGACCGCCTGGAGGAAATCCTGCAGCCTCAGGCAGATCCATCAACAGTGGTAGTGGTTGGTGAGAATGGTGAAGTGACTACGGGGGTCCGCCCTTCACGTAACATGACCCGAGTATTGAACAGTAAAGTGATCTCTGCCTCCCTTGGCAAGGGCAGGCACATCCAACTCTCTGAACCCGTCCGTCTATCTCTTCGTCATCTACGCACGGAGAATGTTAGCAATCCTGCCTGTGTTTTCTGGGACTATACTATGAGGTAAGGGATGGAATGGCGGTGCTGATGTTTCAAACTTTAGGGCTGACATTTTGATGTGACAAGTTTAATTAAAAGTGTATGATGCCATAATAACACATTTTGGTTATATTTTTGCAGTGCGTGGTCAGATGAAGGTTGCCATGTAGAAATGACAAACCATACTCATACAACCTGCTTGTGTGACCATTTAACTAATTTTGCCGTACTTATGGACGTCCATGCAACATATCTCCCTCCTTCCCATCAGATGGCTCTGCAGATCATTACATACATTGGCTGCATCATTTCCGTTGTATGCCTTCTGTTAGCCGTTGTCACATTCCAGTTGTTCAGAAGTTTGAAGGTGAGTGAGGAGTTTGTATTATTAAACTTCCGTTTTAAGTATGAGAGATTTGAGGTTCTGACAGGAGTGAAGAAGTTGATGGTTGATGTTCCTCAGTATTAATTTGTACATGGGGACCTATGTTTCAGTTGAACATGCCTCAATCTTCCACTATAAGTTGGCATCCAGCTACAAGTTAATATGGTGTCACAATCAAAAAGTTCACAATCGACATATTTTGAGTTATTAACTGAGACTACACCCTAAGAGTACCAATCCATTTTGTGTAAAAATACAGACCAGCAGACAAATTCATGGAATATGTAAATTTTTGCACGGATGCATTTTTATAGATAACGGAGAAAGATTTTTAAAAAAAAAATTGTGCTCTTCACACGAGTAGGACTGTGAATCATCTGTAAATTATTGAAAGCACATATTACATACTTTCTTATTTTAAATACTTATGAATATTTACTTGAATTTTGAGAATTAATTTATGATTAAGGTAGTTATGCTGAAGAAAGAAAAAGAACAGTATAAAATATACTTTTATGTTCTATCAACACATTTGCAATTGGCAACAAATTTGCTCTGAACTACTTTGAGTTAATGTAGTTACCGTGTGATTTTATTTTTCTTTTTTACAGTCTGATCGCACGACAATCCACAAAAATCTTTGTGTATGTCTGCTGGTTGCAGAAGTATTGTTCCTTGCAGGCATCAGCCAGACAGATAAGCCCATTGTGTGTGGCATAGTTGCTGGCCTGCTACATTTCTTTTTCCTGTGTGCATTTGCTTGGATGTTTCTAGAAGGTATGTGTGACACTTCCTTTTCTCAGATTATGTAGTCCCATTAGTTAAAATAAACTGATAAAAGCAGGATGTTTTTGTAGTAATTAACGTATTTCTGTGCAGTGTTCTGCCAGAGTTAATCCAGGAAAAGAAGCATTCCGAAGGCCATTATAACCTTGTTGCCACAGTTAATGAGCTTGTTTAGGCATGTTGCTAACAGTGAAAGTTTGCTTCAGGCTTCCAGCTTTACGTGATGCTGATTGAAGTGTTTGAAGCAGAAAAGTCAAGAATCCGATGGTACTACATCTTCGCCTATGGTGCACCACTCATAATTGTAGCAGTGTCCTGTGTTGTCGATCCGTTCAGCTACGGCACTCACCGATACTGTTGGTTGCGAGCAGATAACTTCTTCATATTTAGTTTTGTGGGACCAGTCATTGCTGTGATACTTGTAAGTTTATTTATATAGGCCTCAAATAAAACCTTGTTTCTATGAAATGTTAAATGTTCATGGTGCCAACAGCCAGTAATCAACTAGCAGGACAAGTTAAATAAATTTCCTTAATTTGAGGAGTTATGAGGGTATGTAAAAGATTGTAATATTTATCAGGTGTTTCCAGTCGTAAAAATAGAACTGCTGCTTGCTTCCATATCTTCTCCAAATTGTTATCTGTTAGTTATCCTGTCATTTGGTGCTATGTAGTGTGAGCCACTGGCATCATTGTTAATAAAACCCTTAATAATCTACAAACAGTCCAAGACTGTAATCTTGAGACTTGCAGGGTAAGGAAGTGGGGTGAAGGAGGAAGGAGGAAATATAGCGTCTGTCTTTAACGCTACGGACTTCCTGCATTCCTTGCAAGTCTCAAGATTACAGTCATGGACTATACTTGGTTCACTGTTCAAATATAAAATTATACAAATGTAAGACACTTCCGTACTTATACACAGAGAATTGTATACAAAATTTACATTTAACATAAGAGTATCTGGCTATAATGAAGGACCATATTGTGAAATAGTGTGCTTAACTTCGGTAAAATTAAAGCATTCTGATGGTGGTCATATGCACTTCTGGAATGTTCGTCAACTTCTGCAAGATTAACAAGGTACAAGATCCCGGAAGGTTGTCATCTTTTTGTTTAGAAAATGTCACCATTACCTTCTTTTTGTTACTATAACCACTTTTGTAAGATTTGAGGTTTTCACAGCGGTGAGTATGAAGATTCCTGTCTTCTGGGTCGTTGCGCTGTGTAGTCCGGTTGATGTTAGCCAACATTTCAGAGGTCATACTGCCTCCGTCATCAGGGCAGTATGACCTCTGAAACGTTGGCTAACATCAACCAGACTACACAGCGCAACAACCCAGAAGACAGGAATCTTCATAACCACTTTTGCTGGTATGTTAACCACTGCACTGATTACTTCATTTGTAGCAGTGGTAACTTGTTTAAAAGCTGCAGTTCACATAGTAACATTTCACAGTTGAAATGACTGTTATGATGGGCCGAGCATAAGTCTGTGTTTGAAAGTATTGTTGCGGGAAAGTTTTCTCTTATAAACATGGCCTTTCTTGATCTGTTAATCTGGGAAAAAACATAATAATGCTTTTCACATATATGAACAATAATTTTACACGAGGTTCAGATTGCATTTTTTAGGTAAAAATAGATTAATAGAAGTTCAAACAGTGATTTTGGAATTGTTTATCAGAAGCTTGTATCTTGTAGCTCAAAACAGGTTGACTTTGTTTGTTTTGTGGGTTATGATTATTTAATGTTCATGTTGCAGGCCAATCTAGTCTTCTTGAGCATGGCAATTTACATGATGTGTCGTCATGCTAATGCATCAGCATCAATGAAAAGCAAGGAACATTCCCGCCTTGCTAGTGCTAGGTAAGTATTCCACATTGTGTGTACTTCTAATACATTTTCTGTTTCTCAATTGTTTTAAAATTGCAAGTGCCTTAAGTGTTTTTATATATTTTTTCTTTTATTTTGTTACTGGGCATGAGGTTGTAGCAATAACAGATTGACTTTCAATGTAACATTTTGTTAACATTACGGATGTTGGTTGGTATTGGTTTGCTAGTTCAACAGATAGCATTTTTTCATGTGTTGCAGTCACAGTTAATTTATTCTTGATTCTAATTTTAACATTGTGATTTTTGTTGTAAGAGACGCAGCCTTGTCTGTTCAACTGCACTTTCACAGACCTTCACTTCTGTTTTTTATATTACTTCCATGAAGTTGTGATTTACCTTGTGGTGATTGTTTTTTGTTTCAATACTTTTGTGCTTAGTTTAATGCTCCATTGCAACTGTGTGACCTGTGTTTTAATATGGTAATTGTTTGATCTGTCGCAAGCAGTCACATCCAGTGGTGATGGAGGTCTGGGTTCTGGTTTTTATAACACACTCTTTGTTTTTCTTCTCTTGCATGGCATAGTGGGAAGGAAGAAAATGCTCTTCAGAACAAATTACAGTCACACCTGTAAGATTACTTTATTCTTCTTCACTTAGTTTGTAGTTAGTCATTAGTAAATAGAACAGCTGTAATAATTAAATAACAAATTCTTTATACAAGAGGAATTATTACAGTGCATGATTCCTACTTGTTCTGCATGGGTAGAGTCCACGATTTTGTATTCAACAAGACATGATGCAATTTCTTTGAAACAAAAAATTGCTACTTGATATTAAACAGGAATTTTACATTTGTTTCCATCTTTACCTGCATCAGTATTTTAAATTACTTTTTAAGATGACAGATTTGAATTGAGTACATTTTTGTTTGCTTGTTTGCTTGAATCTTAGATGTCGATGTCTGCCTTTACATGTATAAATGATGCAAATTTACACTTGAAAGTGTTGCAGTAGTGTTACACACCTTTGACTAGTGAAGTTTCTTTTACACTGAATTATGAAAATTGTTTAATTTCTCTGCTTTTATTACGTTACTTAAAGTTTTAGTTTTATTTATAAAATCATGGTCTCTATGCATGGATATTTTTTTTTCTTTTTCAATGCTGCAAAGATAAATATGTAGGAAATGGGTGCCTACTTGTTTTTCAGTAGTTTCACTTCTTAGGTTTGTTTAAAATATTTATTAAATTTTGCCACATTATTTCTAATAATACAGTTACATTTAGAGAAGATATATTATTTTTTTCATGAAGAATGGGAATAGGAATGATATAATTAAACTTGTAGTGAAACTTTGCCCATTTTGAAACATACTTTAACTCCTCTTCAGGAAGTGGTGAATGAAGAAAATTGTGTAATTAGGAACTCGTGATTTATACTGTTCTTTTAGTATCATTAAAACTTTATGATCTGCACAAACGTTTTGATGGCTGAAACCAAAGTGCATACTGAATACCGGCCAACGGCAAGGCTAAGGTGGAGGGTATATTGTAATGGCCCTTTCAGAAGTAATGTATTGTAATGTAAACTGGTTGTGAATATGGTTTAGGGAATGGGTTTATGTTGAAATTTTTTTGTTCTGATACTAAAGATTAACTTTCCCACCCAGTTTTCATTGATAAATTATTTGGTACCACTTTTCTTGCATTTTTGTCACTCTCCTCTGATGAGTTACTTCAGTCCATCTCGCCAAGAAGCATAAAGAATTTTTCGATATTTTTAAAATGTTCTTTGGAAAAGACTCTTACTTCTGATGACACGCCTAGTAAATGCTGTGATAAATTGGTGGTAATTTTGATTGGCAAAATATACAACATTGTGAGTGATGTTTGCTATAGTTTGGTTATTTCATTGAGCCAGATGAATATTGTACTTCTTATGTAAAAATTAATGACTTACATGTGAATATCATAATAGTGCATCTATTACAGTCACCATGTTCTCCACTCAGTTTTATGCAATCTCAGTTCTGGATGATAACCCTTTAAAATCTTATGGTGACTATATATCCCACTGCAATAGCATTCAGTAACTCTTCATTTTGTATTTATGGGTTTTGTATGATCCTCACTGTAAACTGATTATTTCCTTAAAGCATGTTAACCAGTTGATCTTTGTAATGATGAAGTATTGAGTTTTCTTTGAGATACAGGCTAAGTTCTGAAATATTACTTAGATGGGCTTCAGCTTGGAATGGTTAAATATATTTCTGCTTGGCTAAGTGAAGATGTAGGTCATTTATAATATTACTTCAAGGAGCTTATAAATAAGTATATGACTTAGATAAATATGTATGAAGTTAGATGGAAAAGAGGGGCGAGGGGAATTAACGTGGTAACACATCATATTTTCTGTTGTCACTCGTGAACTAAAAAGTGTGGACACAGAACTATAACAATAAATAGCATATATTGATATTTAGGAACAGATGTGGCAAGAAATTTGACGAAAGCTCCACTGATTCAGTTATTTTGTTTGGAACCTCAGTCTCATGACTACTACCTCACTACAAATAAACATAAATATTGCTATAAATTGTGAATTTTATCCATCATCATTAAACTCAAGCATTGTCTTTTATGCATATATTATCTACTGAAAAATTATTTAATATTTGTTTGCAACTTTTTACTGTTATTGAAAATTGAGTGTATAACTGATACATGAATTTGTATAAGAAATCACAGTGGAAGAATTTTATGGGCCCTAATATGGATATTTAACAATTGCAGATAATACAGCCAAAATGCATTCTTGAATCAGTGGAGCTGATTAATGTTTCCTGCCAATGTGAAATTAATTCTAAGACAATTTATGTATGCCATTTTGATGTTAATTGGTTGGTATTTGCTTTTGTTTACAGGGCTTGGTTGAGGGGAGCCATTGTACTTGTGTTCCTGCTTGGACTCACCTGGACATTCGGTCTGCTCTATCTGAATGAAGAATCAGTCATTATGGCTTACATATTTACTGTGTTGAATAGCTTGCAGGGACTGTTTATCTTTGTTTTCCATTGTGTTCAGAACGAGAAGGTAAGAAGACTTCTAGGCCTGGAACATACAACAACTCTCTTGTAACTTTATATGTTGGAGAGGAAAATATAATGTAAATAGCTAAAACACATTTCAAAAGAAATCAAACTATAGTATTTTGTAAATGATAGTCATTGCATTGTACTGTAGATTTTAATATGATGGTAAATAAAACAGTTGCACACTGTAACTTCCCTGAGATGACTGTTCTTTACCAAGTGAGTATCATTTTCCGTTGGAATCCAGACTTGATTTTCTCCTATTTTGCCTGGAGTACCCAATTCCCTCCTTGGTTTGTTGGATATTTATCTCAGGGAATGTTTGGTTACCATTTGCAACCCCTCAGAATGGTTTTTTGATCTTACCTTATTTTGCATTTACATTTTATTTTCCTTTCAGTTTGAGTTTGCTATTATTTTCCTTTTTCTTTTCTTTTTAGGTTCGCAAAGAATATAGAAAATTTATCCGAAGGCATGCATGGTTACCTAAATGCCTGAGATGTTCAAAACACTCGAACGGCAAAGAGAGGCGTTCGAGTATGTATGCGGGCTCCAACGGGAATCCCTCTGCCCCCAACTCCCACAGTACAGACAGCTCCGCTCTCTCACCTCATGGGACAAGTGTGGGTACCAGCTGTGCAGCCCCAGGCTTGACCCTGGGTCCTCCCCTCACACACCACCACCGACAGCCACATGCACCGGCACCAGCTCTGGCCATCACTAGCTCGGTACACACAGTTTCACAAGGTACTAGGACCATGCTGCCCAGCAGTGTGGGGATGAAGCATGCAAAACTCCAAAAATGTACACCTGTAACGGACGGATGGGGAAAGCATCGATGATGGCTGATTGCGTGACTCAGACGTGTCGATAATATGATATTGTTAACCAGATCACAGCTCAAAATGTTCTGAAGGCAATTGTGGTCATTTAACTTTTGCTACGGCAACATACAGTAGTGACAGTGACACACGAATAGTAGAGCCAAAAAGTAATTCTGCATCCCGTTATCCGGCCGTTCTGGTCTCTGGCAAGCAGAGCAGTCGGGCTCTGGATGGTCTGAACACAGTCAGGTTATTCACCCTTTTGCTCGCTTTGACTAACACGTGGTGTGGCTTTTGCAGCAGGTGCAGGTGCTGAGGTGTGGTGGCGTGGCATATGTTGGGCTGCAGCTGGTCTGGTAGTCCAGCTCAGTCCAAACCTGCCTTTCTGGTGTGGTGGGGCTTATTTGTAGAAGCACTTAACATAGCTTTAGCTAAGCCATTGGTTAAGCACTTTCTTTCCTAGTCATCTAACAGTACATTTGTTTATTCTGTTCATTAGTTAATTTTGTTATTTGTTCATATATTTGTTGGATTGTATATCCTGGAGAAGAGTTGTGATTATAAGTAATAATCTAAATGGGACTGCATAACAATGGTGTTCATCACAACAAACTTCTGCCTCCCAGGAAGTGTGCTCAGGAGGATTATTTGGATGCATGACTTTCCTTACAACTTAACAGACCACCTGCCATAAAGGAAAGTCACTTCATCCTACCATATTGACATGTGAACGTTGTGTGGCCATGCATGATAGATAGTCACACTCTGGCTTGCAGTAACGCAGTACTAATGTAGAGTATTTGTGCTCAGAATCTAAGGTTTGGTTTATTGATTACCTTTTCTTCAATTCATTTTTGTACATAATATTATCATCATGTCATACTAAGAAACAGTCAGGTATGCTGTTGGAATCAGACAATATATGATTGCTTAGCTTCATCATTAACAAAATAACATGAGCTTTGGTTCTGAATGTTGGGGAGGTGAATGTTTCATGCACCCATTGAAAAACGGAAGAGGTAGTGGAGGGTCATGACAGGTCACGACAGAGTGTGTCTGGCTGTTGCAGTATTTCCTCCAGCGGGGGTGGAGCTCACGCAGCAGCCACGGAAAATCCAGCCAGGTCACCGCGCCTGCCCCCGGGCTCATCCGAGCCAACCATCGCACTAGCACTAGTAGTCGCACCGCCACCTCCAATCCCTCCGACCAGGAAGTCGAGGTGTGTGTTGCCACCTTGCCTTATATCCGTGGGCGCGGTATACCTCCCCCTAACCTTCCCAAATCTGCTACCACCTGGGGACCGCTTCATAAGCCTTTAATTTGGAAGGTGAGCCTATGGATTAACGCAGCCTCTTGCCTGTTAATTAGACCCTGGCTCCTTTCGTCATCTGCTTGCTAGCTGTCTGCCTGTTGGCACTGCATGTTCCTGATGGTTGTGGCTTGGTGTGGTCAAGGTTATCACTGCAGTGTGTATGACCATTCTGAATATCTGAAGTGATCATTCATGCTGCTTTTGATCAGGAAGACCATTTCTATGATGTGAGTTTGAGTTTAAAGAAATCTGTGTGGATTTATTGAATTGAATTTTCCTGTGACATTATAATTGGTGGCAATTTGGGCTTTGTTGATTTCTGCTACACTTGTGGTGTAATATAATTCAGATTTCATGTGCATCATTTAATGCAGCGTTTCTGAACCTATGGTGCACATACTACTGGTGGTACGTGAGCCAATGTTGAGTGATACGCGAACTAAGTAAGAGCATCAAAATATAATATTAACATAAATAAATTGTCCCTGAATGCATTTGGTTAGTGGTACATTTATTTTGTTAAATTAGAATTAGTGGTATGCCAGCAAAAAAGGGTAAGAACCCCTGATTTAGAGGATGGTAGTTTAAGAATTTTACCTACAAGCAGTATGAGAAAGTATGTATTTTTGTCTCTCTGGAAAATTTCAGCTAGTAATGAAATATTTTAGACAGTTTCAGGTAGTGTATGATGCTTTCAGTAGGCAGAGATTCCTGCACATACATGTGGTGTTCTGTTTTTCCAGTAGAATATGATTTACTTGAAGCTGCCATATAGTTAGCACACTCAGAATTAGAGGAAACACAACGTCTTCATGTGTGCATGAATTGAATTCCTAGTCTATAATCGGTTTGACACTCTGTACATAATTTGACCAGGACTGGTAACACTTTGAAGTGATTGCTTGTTAAATAGTGTTGCCCTGACTCTGTTCCACATAAACATCTACAATATTATTTAATTCATTCTCATAACTATTGAATGTTTTTTCTCCCGGTATAATGTATTGCAGTCTGTATAGAAGATATGCCGATGTTTTCATTATTCCACATATTTATAACATGATGATAATTCAAAACATTCATCAGGATAAATTTCTAATAGAAGAAATAAATATTTATTTATTATATGATTCTGCATCATCTTTTAAGATTACATGTCAAATAATTTGTGGTAGGATGATTTAAATAATGAATGAATCACATGGGTTGTGGTAATGAAAAATTCATGCCCTATTTCTGGATACTCCCACAAACATGGAGGAATTACAAATACACATTCAGAAACTAGGTAGAATTTATAGCAGTAAATTTTACTGAGGGAGGTAATGATGGTAGATTGGGTCATACATTCATGGGACATATTGTATTATTGTGCTAATGTAAAAGCTTGTGTCATCATCAACCTAGTCCTTTTTAAAGAACTCTGAGGTTTCAGTCTTAGATATTTATTTACTGCATTAATGCAGAATGTTACATGTGATAAAAACTATTAGGGAAACTTATCTAATTTAAGAGTTGATTTGTTGCAGTTTATTGTGAACTTTGTTCACTGCCTTGCTAATTATAGTCCACTTCAGTCCACACATGAACTTGCATATCCAGAATTACACCAGTGATTACCTCAGTAATCTGTCATTGCAAAGTGACTACACTTTACACTTATTCTGTGTGGACAGTGTCTTTCAAAAAGCCCCAGAAGGGCAAAAAAATCCATGTGTGTTAAGTCAGGACTCTGTGGTATGTGGTCGAGTGCCATCCTGTTGGAAAATGAAGCCATCGTCTGGGGAAACACAAAAGTAAACGGCTAGATGGTGCTTTGAGAGTTTTAGTGCCAGTTGTCTATAAAGAAAACATGCAGTGTGTTATCAACTTGTGATGATGGATTACAGTGGCTATAGCTGCTATGCCTCTGGATATGCTGACTCAAGTGTACACTAAAGTGGATTATTATTACTATTTCTGCAGGGCAGTCAGTAGTGCTCTCTTTTAATTTCATTGATGAGTTTCCTTAATAGTCTTCATCACATGCAACATTCTGTGTTAATGCAGTAAATAACCATTTACAATCGAAACCCCAGAGTTCTTTTTCAGACATTGTGTACAATGCCTTGAATCTAAAATCTGTAATAATCACTCAGTCTTTCAAATAGTGAGTTGAAATGAAATTTGTAGGTTAGAATTCTACTGCTTGCTTCAATGCATGAAACAAATTTTGTGTTTCAATACAAATGCTTGTTAACCTTTATCTTACTAGCGTTCCCAGCCTGGGAATGTAAGTTTTGTAGTCAGTCCTACGAACATTCCCGGAGGGGACCTCAAAACTTGCAACATTGTAAGAAGACTTGGCTATGTCTTTTGGCCTATTTTAGGGGCTGCAAATATTGAATCACTTTCTCTAGGGTTTTTACAAGGTCAGCCTGAGCTGTCAAGTATAACCATAAACAGCAATAAACATTGTTATTGTCAAGTGGGTTTCAGCTTTGTTTTCAGGCCCCTAATCAAAGCTTCTCACATTCCTCGGCATGATGGGTGAGAATAATGTGTATCCACTGAAGTAGGGAAGACAAATTTTTCTGTGTGATCATTAGTTTACAACCACATCGAATGAGCTTCAAAAGAACAAAGTAAAGTTACTAAGGCCTATTTAGGCAATTAAGATATTAACTGCATTTTTAAAGAACTCTATGTATTCTCTGTTCTATTCGAATCAATATGGCTTTTATTTTGTCAATTTATCATGTTTACTTTAGATAATATTAAAGTTTTCCGTAGAGCGTTCACAAGATTTTAAAAACCTGCAAAGAAACTCTGTAGGGCTGCTACCACTATGCCATTTAAATCCCCGTAGTTTATAGGTTAAATATGTGATCCATTTTAATAGATAATAAGAGCCTAATTTTATAACATGCAGTGGGATAATAACACATCTGTGAAAAACTTGCAAGTACCACCACATTAAAAATAACCAAAGTTATCGATAATCAGTATTATTGTGTGGGGAATTAGTGGCATCCTTAGATATGGGGATAACTTCTTAATCTAGTTTTTTTATGTAAGTGCCACAACAAGATTCTAGAGATCAGTAGAAGTTTTAGATGATGCATTCTGAATTCTGAAGGGAAAGTATAAAACTGTCACATCAGGTTTTAGTCTCGATTCCAGAAAGAAATACCAAATTATAAGGTGATTCAGTCCATGTATGTAGTTACAACCATCAGTTAATTTTATCACTCTTCATGAACCGTGATAAAAATGCCAATGGTGTTAACCTCAGAACCAGCTTGTATTTAGACTACTGTGCCAGATTTTCAGGATGGAGTATGTACAGTACAATTCAAAGTGCAAAATTGTTTTTCTTTTTTATTATCTTTACTTTAGTTACACATAGCAAATCTGATATGATTGAGCATTGTAAACATGTTTAGTAAGGTATCATTTTCTAGTGTGAAACCTTGCTAGGTTGGGTTTACCATATCAGTTTGCCTTGTAATGTGCTTCTCACATGCTCTAACAGGCTATAAGACACACTTGACTTTCATGAGTTAATTTCTGCTCATCGACTACCATGTAGCATCATTTTGTATTTTACAGTGCATATCATAATTGTGGTTACGTTCTTGCATTGCTCATTTACTTCATTCTTCATATACAGTAAAAACCTCTCTAAGTTGGACACTTACATTTCCACAAAAATTTGTCCAACGTACAGAGGTGTCCAAGATTAAGGGAAAAATCATCCTTTCAGATTGTGGTGTAATGACAATGTAATCCATTTACTTACATAAACCAACTACTGTAGGCTTACTTGAATTAAGAATTGATGATGATAATTATAATAATATTTTGAAACCCACTCCAATGCAGTGCACATTACACTCCAACATCAATGAAATTTTCTAAAGTTAATTCCATAAATTTTCCCATTTCTGTTACCACAGTTTGAACTCAAATGGAAACACAGTTTGAACTCATATGGAAGCATAGTACTGATGGAGTTAGAATTGTATCTGCAATACTGTAGTCCAGTGAAGGGTTCACAGAAGAATAACTAAACACACTCTCTGCATTCCAGTGATGGGTTCAATGTCTCCCACCCTCAACCCTGAGCTAATACTCCAGATACAAGGCATTCCTCAGTCAGAAATTCAAAACAACAAAATAACTGTAAACATTTCCCTGAAAAGTATTGAAGGGAAGTGCATGAACCTGTCCAACTTACAACAAAAGGGATTTCCAAGTTCCAGGATAAAAGGGTGTCCAAGATATAGGGTATTGAGGACATGTAAAATTATAGGATATTTGCTAGTTTCAATTAAAAGTGTCCAACTTGAGGGATTTTACTGTACTATCATAAATATTATCATCCTTCATCCTGGTACAGCAAAACAAATTAATTATCCAAATAGGCAGTTAACTAGAAGCATGAAAGATAAGAATCTTGGATTCATGTAATGTTATACATTCTGATACTTCCCATAGAACATGCCTTGCCCTGTGTAATGCTTGGCTTTAGAATTCTAATTATTGTAGCCTATATTTCTGTCTTTTAGTCATAATGAAATACTGAGTTCATTCTTGAAATGTAACTTTGTGTGTATTTGTTTGTATATATTCTTTGTCACCAAAATGTGTGTCTGTTACAATTCTTAAGCTTTTAGTTTAAACTGTTTAGTAGGAAAATCCATTTAATCCCTAGCTTTGCAAGAACAGAATCTAACATAAAACAAATTACAAAGAACATGTACTGTCATATGTTTCAGGCTTGTCATTTGTAAGGTCTTCGGTAGTCACATATTCAACATGAACCAGAAAATATATAACTGTAATGAGACTTGTTATTTGGACCTGCTGAATTTTTTTCTTAGTTTGTGAATTACAGCCCTCTTTACCTTTCCAAAATTTTTGATGTGTTGTCTGCTTTTGTTTGTTTCTGTATATGCGTCATAACAAGTGCTTAAAATGCCCTCCAAATGCTTGTGACCTTTTTGTTGTAATTTACGCTCTCATCAAACATATGCATGTCTGCCCATTCTTGGACTGAATAAACATTCATTATCATCAGCTGCAAGGTTTAGGTCTTTCGACCTGTTCAGATCTCCATATTAGTCATATTGATCCTTCCATCTCTCTGATGGTCAGCCTCTCTCCTTCCTTCAGGGTGGTGTTAAATGTCTGCTGAGGAATTCAATAAGTTAGCATTCTTAAAATATGTTCTAAGTAGTTCTGTTGGTATTCTTTTACATTGTCTCTTAGAATGGATATGTTTAGTTCTTGTCAGACATCTGTGTATCTCTTTGTATCCATTCCTCTGCAATCTGTCACTGATCTCAGGAATCTCATTTCAGAAGAATCAGTTTGTTGGAGGTGTGTTTTAGTTAAAATTCAGCATTCACTCTCACGTAAAAGACATGATACTACTAAAACTTGTAAAACTGTATTCTTTCCAAGTATATTTGATTTCCAGTACCAGTGCAGGTAGTCTGTTAATATTATCATTATTTTTAATATTTCCATTGGATGCCATTAATACAAATAAATGACATTTATAATTTTTATTCTTTAAAGCAAATCCACAAACAGCATTGGTGGTATTTATACTGAAGTATATTGCTGAGAGTTTATGTATGCCATATGGTCTTAACACACCACACCTCTCTTTCTTCGTTGCCTCTTCTGACCAATGTAGATGAAAAGCAGCAGAAGTATATAGTGCTTCAACTTGAACAGGAGGTTTTTTTGGACCCATTTTCATATGAAGGTCTTACATTTTTTAATATTATGGTACTCATCCATACATAGTGCTAGACCTTTAAGTTGCACAGTATATATTCATGAACCAAACTTCACAGTAGTGGTTAGCATGCATGCTATTCGTTCAGGATGTTCAAGTTTCAGATAATAGTCATGTCTTGACTCGCATATTTCATGTTTTATATAGTGCAACCAGACTAATTCCAAGACATTGCCTTAAAAGAGGTCACAGTTGCTGCCTTCCACTCCTTTCAGATTCACCATACACAAAATCTCTTGTCATTTATAATTCTGTGTTGTATAAACTAAGCAGTTGGCATGGTGTTATTAAATGAATGAAGAAAGAACTTGTATATTATTAAGAACAATTTTGCATCTTAATTGATTTTTAAAAACTTCAGAATAGTTTGTACGTGGCTCGTGGTTCAAGATTTGAAGTTATTCATGTTAGAAATTTGTAGCAGTTTGTGAAACAAAACGTAATTTTCAAAATGAATCTGTTGCTTAAGGAGGTTAGACTGTCGTTCATTGCCATACCCTGTTTTCTGCTACTGTTACTGACTGTGTGTATGTTACTTTACTTATCAACGTAGGGTTTTTCTTCAGTGTAGCACAACCTTAAAATACTTAAATTGTACTTATTTAAATATATACTTCTTGCTTCTCAGCTGTCTCATCCATCTTCCCTCCTATCTTCTGTCCATCAACTTTATGTCCTCATGCCCCAGCCTTCCATTCTTGTTGTAATGTTTATAGATTAAGGAGTTTCTGTGTGGCAAAATTGCTCAAGAGTGAAAGGACTGTACCTTGTTTGTTTCTGTCAAGATAACGTGCAAAGGAAAGAGTACAGTACAGAACATGTGGGACTTTAACTACATAATTTAAAACATGGCACTGCCAGGTATCATTCACATTCATTGCTATTTCTCCCACAGTTTGAGAGTTTTTTAATTGGCTAGGCTTCCTTGAAGATAAGATAAAGTTACCCCTAGAAATGGCAGATGAAAGCCATTTGCTCCTCAGAATTTGTAATACTCAGCTGATGAATAACTGACAGTCCACTTCAGCATAGTCTTATCTGTCAAAACAGTCTCCTTTTCACAGTCAGGTCTTAGTTGCCTTATCTTATGATTATGGTGTGTTTCTCATATTAAAGTGGAACTCTCCTTTGATTAAATTAAACAATTAAAATTTTGTGCTGTGGTGTACTTTCTGTATAATCCACAATTTGTTTTTAATGAAAAATAAAGAACCTCTGAAATCTGGGGTGCTCTCAACTTCATCATCTATAAAACACATAAAAGCCCTCAACTTATGATGTCCACTGACTAAACAAGAACAACTAAGCAAGCTTCCTTCTACTAGCAATGAGAAGATTGTTGACAGTGGTGCCACTTGCATATGAGTCTAGCACAGAGTGCGAATTTTAAACATAATGAGCGTAGAAAATTTATTAAATTGTGATGTACGTTGCAGAGGCTTGAGAAATTTTAATTTCAGCCTATAAATATGTTTTACATAGGCTGTGATCAGCATAATACTGACATAAAAATAGTTACAATATGAATGTTAAAGAGCAATATGAAATTCTCTGCACCATTATTGGAAACAAATGCATTCATTCTTGCTACAATGTGGCAGTTGTTTGTTTACTGACTAGATCAATATGGATGTATGTAACAAACTTTTATTGCAGTTCCTGCCATTGCATGATCCTACCACAAAGATTTTTCACAAAATCCATAATGAGGTGCTCCTTACAGACACTTCTACTTTGATATGAACTAGGTATTAATACTTCCAAGAACAAACATGAATTGTGTAAGGTCAAAGAATTAATAAAGTACTAAATGTTTGTGTGTTGATGTAGTTTAGCTACAAGACATAATTTTCAGCATATGTTTAATGGGATTTTTTTGTTTTTTCCCTATAGAACATTTCGTTTAAGTCATACAGCCGAGATTCAGGTCATGGAGGTTCTGAGCAGGAGGATTCCCCACGTTCTCACAATACAACCACCCTGAACAGTCTAAATAATCTGCGGAGCCTGAACAATAGCAAAGACATGCGGCGTCAGCCCTACATGCCTCCAGATTACCAACAGGGCATCACCAATGATCTCTCAGTCACAGAAAAAGGAGTAGGCCTGAGTGACAGTGAATGTGTGACTCATTATTGTCGGGACCATGAACAGGAACATCCCTCAGTGGGCCAGAATGGGGAGAGTTCAGCACCACAACAGCATGGAACACGCACAGCCAAAAAGGCAAACAATTTTCTACGTTCTACCAGCCCTTGGAATCACACTTATACTGAGATACGAGAAGGAAGGCCACAGGGTCATGGACATGTTCTTGCACATGTCCACTCTCATCCTCACCCAGATGCTCTGCCCACAGGGCCTCCAGAAGATGATCCAGTGTACGAGGAGATTGAACAGAGTGAGATTCAGGTATCTGACATGAGTGATGAAGATGGAAAGAGACAGAGTGATGTGAGTCGACAGTCATCACGTAGCTATGGGGATAATCATCCCCTTATTCCTTACAGTCCTGTCACTGACCGGAACTTCCATTCATACTTGGATGCAGCATTCAAGCACCGCCTCAAGGACCATGCCCGTTATCACCCAGGTCTGGATAGGGACCTGGAAGAGGTAGATTTCAATTGCCTATCCCCAGCTGGTTTTCCAGTGCCAACTGACATTTCCAGGCATCCTTCCAACCCCAACACTTATTTATATTCTAGTGAGAATGCCCGCACAGTGGCTGTACTGGATGGCGAGACAGTGGTGTGTCATCTCCAGCAGCCAGATCACCATGATCCTTATAATTCCAGAACAGTGGTTTTGCCACCATATAGTGAATGTTAATTTTATCAGAATGAGTGGAAGAACATTCACAATAGATTAAAGTGGTAGCCATGCAGAATGCAGCATGTTTCTTGTCCCCAGCTGTTTGTCTTACGATTAACTGTGAAATGGCCCGTATGTCCATTTAATGAGCTGCCAGAATCGTGTAGATACCCTTGGTTTGCTGCTTGAACCATAACCTCGTAATGCCTTATCTAAAGCACAGTTTATCAAAATTCTACGAGTGTTTTGTGTACATAATGTAAATAAGTGCTTTGTACATGTTGGACTGTGGTTACTTTGCTACTGCAGCAGTTCATGATGTGGCCCAATAAATGTGTCATATATCTGTGATGTTGCCATGATGTGCATGGGATGGACTGGCTGGCTCTCAAAGACTGCTAAACTTGTCAAGTACTGAATCATGAACTTGCACAGAAGTTTGCAAATAAATTATTTAAGAGTTGGTGTGCTGTATTTTATTCTTCTTTATGACTTCTATCTTCTTCAGTTTTGTCTCTGAAGAACATGTGCATCAGCTGAGTGATACCTCATATTTTCCTTTTGTAATCTCTTTCAGAACATTTTTTTTTTTTAATTGATCAGTTTTTAACAAGGGAGACAGGTAAGCATATGTTTAACAAAATACATGAATGAAGTAGTTCTTGATTGAAATGTAAATCTGGGTCAAGATCCATGGCATTTATATTGATTTCATTTTAAAATGCAGAACATTGAAATTGAGAAACTTAGAAAAGTCCATTTGACTGTATAGTAGTTTCATGCAGATAAATGTTACTGTCGTAGAGAACTGTGTCTAAGTCTAGAGGCCTGTACTATATTATCTGTTCTTTCATAACCTTAATTTTTTGGTCTCTATAAATACTTATGACTGGACCCCAATGGAATGCAAAGGAAACATTACCTTTGTTATGGTAGTTATTAAATAAAGTTGGATTGGTAACAAAATTCTGATTTGAAAATGGGAAGATACTAAAGAGGTATAATTAATGGTGGGAAAGGTAAAATCTGATCCTTGGTTCATTTAGAATAGGATCCGTGGGGTGCCTTTAAAATGACTAATGGGACAGCACATAGGCTAATGTAGACCAGGAAAGCCCATAACTGAATTTGGCTAATTAAGGTATGTTTAAGTATATACAGTAAGGCCACATAAGCGTTTGATTCATTTCATATTTAGATTGCCTTGGAAGGGGGAGGTGTTTTATCACCATTGCTAACTTTGCTTTAGAATATGCCATCAGGAAGATCCAAGAAAACAAAAAGGTGTTTGAGTTGAATGAAACATTAACTTCTGGTCTATACTGAAGTTACTTTATTGGGTAGAAACAAATATAAAAATTGAATCACTGTTAGAGAAATCTAAGTAGCAAATCCTTTGAAAATATTGCAGAGGTTAAATATTTACGAACAATGATAAGTATTGCATTTACAAATAAATTGAAAGAGCAGGCTAATTTAGGGAATGCTTTTTACCACGCAGTTGTCTTTCCATATGTCTAAATATGTGAAGTTTAAAGTGTAGAAAGCTGTAATTTTACATGTTTTGTTTGAGAATGAAACCTGTACTCACAATGTTAAGGGATGAACATATATTAAAGAATATTTGAGAACAGTGCATAACAACGTTTTAGTAAAAGGATTGGTGTAATGGGAGCATTGAGGTTATGTCATAATGAAGAACTCCATAATTTGTACTTGCCACCAAATATTAGAATGGTCAAATCAAGAAGTGAGATGGCTGGGCATATAGCATACATTTGAAGATGAGATGCATAAAACATTTTGGTTGGAAAGCTTGAGGGGAAGAGACCACTCGGAAGACCTAGACTTATATAGGAGATAATATGAGTACTAAGATTTGTCCTTGGGAAATTGATTTGAAGGGTGTGAACTAGATTTATCTAGCTCAAGATAAGGATCAGTGTTGGGCTGTTGTGACAGTAATGAATTTTTGGGTTCCATAAATTGGAATTTCTTGACTAGTTGACCACACTGTTAGCTTCTCAAGAAGGATTGTTCATATATCTAAACATGCATTTCCTAATCAGAATTGTCAAACAAGGATGCTCTTTCACCATGGATTTTATGTTTCTGTGCTGCTTGACAGTCTGAATACTCTGTAGACTATCCATGATTGAGGTTCTCACAACATAGTGTGATGGGTCTCAGAGGATCCACCTGTATGAGCAAAGGTGTCACATTGTTTAGCAGGTTTTGGTATTGTCATTTAACTTGGCATGCATTGCTCAGTACTGCTATTAAAATATTTCTCCATTGGTGTTCATCTGGTCAGTAATGCAATGTTGAGTTTTGGAGGAGCATGTTGCCTCCATTTTCTGGGCATTTCTTGCCAAAAGACCACCATATACATGTTTACTGCCAAAAGAACATCAACATTTCTGTTGTTTGAACAGTATGAGCAATGAGATTTGAGGTTCTCATGGTGGTCAAGTTGTCAGTGTCCTGGGTTGTGATGTCATGTGGACTTGTAGGTACGTAACATCATTTTGGGGAAACATACACTTGAACCCTGAAGAATGAGACCATGTTTCTCTGAAGCGTTATAAGACATGGTGTCACAACCTCCTAGAACTACATGAATGCAGAGGTCCCCACGAGCCTGGGAGCACAGATAACATTCAGGCTCGGGCATAGTTCAAATGATGGCATTCAAACTGTAGAACGTTTCAAGCATTTGCGGAGTTTATTTTTTTCTGCAAAGGAATGGTTTACACTCAAACAGGCTGGTCTCATTCGTTTCGAATAAAAGGAAGTTGTTCTTATAAGATATAGGTAACATTTTTGAAGCTTAAACTTAGAGCTTAGGCCAAATAGCCGTTGGAATGGGCCGGGCGGGCGAAATTCTAAAATTTCGACTCTTGTTGATATCTAATGGAGCGTAGAATGTTTTGGTAATGGTGAATAGAACTGGATCTACCGATTATGGCCACTGACCTTGTAGGAAGTGCCCATTATGCGGACCACTCAATGAAGGAAGGAAGGAGTTTCCGTCGGTCAGTGCAGCAGTGTAGAAGCCTCATACTTGGTCACGCTTAGGCACAGTTTTCAAATCTTTGTCGTATTTTAACGCTTATGGTGACCTCTCGTCACGCCTTTATATTTGGTTACGCCTACTCACGCTTTGTAAATCTTCGTCACGTTTCGACATACATGGTGGTCACGAAGTCTAAGAATGACACTCTTGGTCACGCGTGGTCACTAAGTTTTTTAGTGCATTTTTTTAAGTTAGGTAACGTTTTGATAATTTTTGTGACGTTTCGACTCTTATGGCCACAACTCGTCACTCCGTTACATTACGTTACCCTTAGTTACGCGTTGTCACGCTTAGTCACGCTTTCTAAGTCTCCGTCACATTTCGACAGATAAGACCAAATCTTATCACGCCAATACATTACGTCTCGGCCAGTCACTGTTTGTCACGCTTGGGAACTCGTGGTCATTAAGTCACTTTCCGGCACGTTTGCGTTATGTTACTTAAAACTAGGTTAGATGATGTTGCGGCAGGTTAGGTTAGGTTAGAAAGCGGTAGTCTGGGATGAGTGGAAGAATTGAAAGAGGACCGAAGAGTTATGAAGAAGATAACATTTTTTAATACTCTCTGCAGTGTTAATTTTCTAGTGATGTGTAGTGTAGTGAAATCGACTTTCATGTGTTACATACCGTGTTGATATTTTATTTGGTGTGTACTGTACGCGGACTGCTGCCATCCCTTCTAGTAAACTTCTGGTAAATGACTCGCTCCGAGGTTCGAATTCACAAAGTTTAGCGGCCAAAAACGCTGGAACGCAGTATACCTGCATTGCTGCCTATTGTCGTCCTGTGCTATGGGTTCTGATGCCGATTAAATCGACACAGACGTCTCGAGTTAGAAGTTGAGTTCTTGCAGTGTATCATTAGCACATTGTTTCTTCAGTTGATCCAGCTAGGCTGAGTAGTGGAAACAGGATTAATACGTTCAGCCAAATTTCGCATGCCGTGGTGAACTGTTGTCATTGCTGTTTGAGTGCATATAGTGAGACTTCAAAATGGTAAATTCAGAGATTGACATACCAAGCGTCGTTTTAAAATAACGCGTACGTGCTACATATTGGTAAATTAACCGGAATGATTACAATTACGTCCGTATGTCAGTTTTAGTTTATAGTCGAATAACATTTCTTTGTTTTATATTGAGATGTTCTGGTGGAAGCTGTAGATGTGAACGTTTCGCTGTGTTATGTGCATAGGTTATGTAGCGTAGATAATTCAAACGAGTTGAAAAGGATATCAAAATAGCGGCATTGATGTATGTTTAGATACTGAGATGCACGAAAATTTTATTCTGGTCAAGATTCTGACCCGTTACTTTCAAAATTAAACTACGTAACATCAAGATATTTGGTATGATAATGAAACTTTTGACAGTCGTAAATGGAAGGGAATACGGACAAAAAATTACTGACATTTATTTACCATCATTTGATGGTAAAATTCAGTAACCTGTTACATATATGATCATCGTCATGGTTTTTACCATTTAACCAAAAGGTGGCTCTATAACCTGTTTATATATTGAGAATCCCCAGACACAGTTACACACGTTTTATAGCAATATATCAAAGAATTTAGTAGTGTCTGTGCTTGATATATACTGAACAACATACAAACATCATTAGAATAGAATAGAATTTATTTTCATTCCATGGATCCTTCATAGGCCCAAGCCAATGATGTAGAATATGTCATAGCACAAATACAATACTTGTTTCTAAGATAGATATAAATTACATCGTTATGACAGTAATTATAGTCAACTACAGTATTACCACAAAAATAATAACTCAATAAAGCATATCCACTATTGCGAACATGTATTTCTAATGGCTGAGAATTTTTGGTCGAGATAAATTTTTCTGTGGATGAGAAGGAGTGAGATAGGAGATATGCTTTAAGTGCAGGCTTAAATTTCTTTATATCATGGTTCAGATTTTGTATTTCTATACAAGTTTTACCATATTTTGGTATGAGTTATGAGGTGTATTGATATGAATTTAAAAAATGATGCTTGTAAAGTGTGAGATATTTTTTCAGTATGTCCTGAGAAAGAGGTCTGTGGACCCTTTAGTAAGGCAGTAGAATTAATCTTTATTGTCTTTGCATTGCATCTTATATGCAGTGCAGCTTTACATGTGTTCCATATTGCATACCATTCACCATGAAGTTCAAGCCTGTCAGTCTGTCTTGCAGTACAGGGTTTAAATTGCCTTCTCTTGAATGGAAAGGATTAATCTAGACATGGTAGTGTACTGGTAATCTCATTCCCTGTGGCAAAGTAGCCAGAGCATGAAACATAGTGTCAAGGTTAAGAATATGAGGGGATTTACCTCGTACACCTTCAACCTATGGCACTTTGACAAGTTTGCTTAATTTATAAAGTGGCAGAATAAAACTAATATTTTCTGAAGAATCACCCTTTTATCAGCTTCATATATTTAGCATATTCATGAAGTTAATATTTACTGTTGCAGCTGATACAGACATCTGATTTGGAAGCATGTTCATTTCAAAACTGGTATCCCGTCTTCAAGGATCATACTATAAATTCGATTATAATTTCAATCTGCAAAGATGTTGTCAGCTATTTGTTAGAAGACTCAACTCTTGTTCTTCCGGTAGAAGTCTGTAGTAGTACTTCAAACAAATATTCTGATCATGAAGGTGATTGTCTGGACTTTGACCATGATGAAGAAGCTCCCTCTGAAGTAAAGGTAAATAATAATTTATGTTCTTAACTCTTTAATTCGTTCTTTGTTCTCTGCTGGATACCAAAGACTGAATTTTTTCGCTTTCCTACATTTTTAGGAAGCAGTATCAAAGTAAATCTATAACCTGTCATCCAATTCACCCCATCATCAGACTATTCCATAATGGCTAGAATCTTATCCATTTTTGAGTATCAGTACTCCCATATTTCCTTCCTGCTGTTGTAACAGCAATAATTGTTGATAGCCAGGTTTGGTTTATTTGTTACTGGAAAATTCAGTTTTACCAAATGAAAAGATAATCTAACAGATATCCTTCAACAAAATTCACTTGTAAGTTCGTGTGCATCCTAGCCAAAGGAAAGTTAAAGAATATATTTATGCATGCATTCTTTATTTCATGTATACTTGTCCACTCTTCTTTATTAACCTCTTGTACTTTCCTTTTTCCATTTTAGCAACCTAGTTTTCCTGCATTCAGCAAAGCTCTGAAGGATGGTATCAACCAACTTGGAGGTGAAGTTTTCATGAAGCTGAATTGGAGTGCCCCAGTGGTATGACAGGAAATTTCACATTTAACCTCTTTTTCATACTGCAATGATGATATTTGCAGCCATGCTGGTGACATGGAATATCCTTTCTGCTATGTATTGTCACCACATTGGTTACATTGTTTTACAGCCATTAAATAATCTCACCGTATAAGTGAAATATACTAAGCAGTAAAGCCATCCCGCTACACGCGGAGTGGTGGTATAGCTTCTACTCTTTCTTGACCTTGGCACTAGATGGGGGTGAGTGGTCAGCATCATGCGCCGGCCACCCTTTATGCCCGGGAAAGGACCCTGGTACCCATTCGATAGGCTGGAAGGGCCCCAGAGCCAGTCTGGGTGCTGGATGCAGGGATCAAACCCCAGTCATCTGGCCCGTACCTAGTCACTATACTGACTGAGCTATCCTGGCTCTGTATTTAGATGTGCTGGGATGAAATATTAGTTGCATTACTTACTATCCTGAGATACTTCATAATTTTTCTCAGTCTGTCAAGGCAAATGATGGAATGTCTCGAAATTCTTACGTATTTATCTTCCAAGACCATTGTTAACAGTTCATTCCTATTATTTAATCCCTCTTACTGTTGTTATATTGTTGAGTAACATGTATTAAGATGGCTGTTAATTTATTATTATTGATTTATAGTTTATTTAACGACACTTTTTCAGAAGCTCAGACTATATAATGTTGAATGAGAGAATGTTGGTGAATAATGAATTGGAAAGAATGTGGAAAGAAGAGGTTGTGGCCTAATTTAAGGTAATATCCCAGAATTTTCCTTGAGGGACTGAGGAAAACTACAAAAAACTGGGTTGGTTTTTTGATCCGCGTCCTCCCAGATATGAAGCAGGAGTGTTAACCACTCTACCGTGATGTTTGGTAAGATGGCTGTTGTCTGATTTGTTGAACCATAAAGTCTGATAGATGTTTACCAATGTTACAAAGGTTTATTCTGTCGCTATTATCAGGCTGATGATTACTTATGTCCTTGATGATGGAAGCTGCAAGCACCTTTGAAATGCCTGTAAACTTCTACCAGTCTACATGGTGGAATATTCGAGAAGAAAGTCCTCTTCATAATCAGCGCCGTGAGAACCTCAAATCTCACTTAACCTGTATATTGATCATTTCATGATCATGATTCATATCTATGCATCTCTGTAACACATTACATTGCATTTTTTAACAGGATGCTGCATGGATAACACCTACAAAGTCCTTGAAATGCACGACAATTGAGGATATTTATCTTCTCTTAAAGAGCTCTGATTTACTTGTAAAGGATTTGATGTGTAGTATGGTAAGTATTCTGTTAAACATTTAATGCCAGTTGTACTTCAATCAGAGGTGTTCCGAGTTATGTATGTACTCAGAAATATATATTCTTTTTCTTTCACTTTCGCAGCAGCAGCAGCCTCCAAGAAGTGTGAACAGCTGCATTGTTCTCAGGAAATGGCAAAATATGGACCCAGGAAATGAATTCCGTTGTTTTGTATGCAAGCAGCAATTGATTGGTACGATGAATATGTACTTTTCAGTGATGTGTTACAGTACTGTAGCCAACCAGCTCTTTGAATGTGAATGTTCAACACTGCTAATAACCACTGTTGCCGTTGGACACATTCCAAATTAATTATGTGCCCTCATTTTGCCCTCCTAGCCTATTTCCTGAAGCAGTATCTTAATGTTATCCTTCCATCTTCTTTTTAGTTTTTAAAGTGGCTGTCCTTGTAGAGGTCTTTCCACCAAAATTCAGACCACTGTAGTCCCCTACATTTTACTGTTATGAATACACTAGATGATCTACATAAATGTGAGTCTTCTTATAATGTAATGTACACAATTTTCTGCTTTCTTCAGCCTAGTTGGTTTCAAATATTTCCTTAAGCATTTTGTTTCCAAACACTTACAATTTACGTTCTTCCCCCAAAGTAAAAGATTAGGTTTCATACCTGTAAAAACAATTTTTTACTGATGGCTTGTTCTTAGGGTTTATATTAGTTATGTACTATGTATTTGGAAATTGTTATTTACTTTTACATTAACTCTGTTTTTATAATTAGCTGTATATGTTTGCGTCTTCTTTTGTTAACAGCTATTTCTCAGCGTGACTACAAAGTATATTATGTTCACTTAGCTCAAAGTAAATACCAGATAATGGAAGAAATTGCCAAGTTTTTCAAGGAAAAGATAAGTGGAAATTTCCCTGTACCTAACTGTAAGTAATAATGTGTTGAATCCAATTCTGTGCTGCAAACTATATGTTGAGCTGTAATATATTAACATGTTGTATATGCAGTGAAATTATTAGCAGCATTTTAAATTTACTGTGTTCTGTTGTGTTACGGATGGCAGAATTAATTACAGCAGGTGGCAAAAAGTTGTATATGAGAATCCATAAGCTTATTCAGTTAATTTGGGATAAGGAAGACATACCACAACTGAAGGAATCCATAATTATTCCTATTCATAAGAAGGGGGACAATACTGAGTGTGGTAATTATCGAGGAATTTCTCTACTATCGACCTCACAAAATTCTATCACACATTCTTCTGGTGAGATTAACTCCATATGTGAATGAAATTATTGGGGATCATCAATGTGGGTTCAGACATGACAGATCAACAGCTGATCAGATCTTTTGCATCCGTCAGATACTAGGGAAAAAATGGGAGTACATCAGTTGTTTATACATTTCAAAAAAGCCTATGCCTCTATAAGAGAGAAGTGTTATACAATATTCTTATTGAATTTGATATACCAAAAAAGCTAGTGAGTCCAATAAAAGTATGCTTAAATGAAACCTGTATTAAAATTTGTGTAGGTAAATATTTATCTGACTCATTTTCCATCAAGAACGGTCTAAAACAAGGAGATGCTTTGTCTGCATTGCTCTTTAACTTTGCGCTAGAATACACCATCAGGAAAGTCCAAGATAGGCAGGAGGGTTTGCAATTGAATGGGATACATCAGCTATTGGCATATGCTGATGATGTTAATTTATTGGATAACGATATAAATACAATAAAGAAGTTTTAGTTCAAGCTTGTAGAAAGGTGGAGCTAGAAATAAATTCAGAAAAGAACTAAGTATGTCTTTGTATCCCATCAGCAGACAGGCTGGCAAAATCATATTAGGGTGACTAATAAATCCTTTGAAAGTGTGACAAAGTTCTGATATTTGGGAACAACAATAACAAATTAAAATCATATTCATGAGGAAGTTAGGAGAAGACAAAATTCTGGAAATGCTTGCTACTTCTCAGTTCAAAATATTTATTCTTCCTGTCTTATTTCTAAGAATCTGAAGATTAAAATATACACAACAATAATTTTGCCTGTTGTTTTGAATGGGTGCAAAATATGGTCTCTCACTCAGAGGGAGGAACACAGATTGCAGATGTTTTAGAATAGGGTGTTGAGGAGGATATTTTGGTTTAGGAGAGATGAGGATGAGGTATGGAGGAAACTGCATAATGATGAGCTCAAAAATTTATATGCCCCCCCTCCCCCCCAATATTGTGAGGGTGATTAAGTCAAGAAGAATGAGATGGGTGGAGCATGTAGTGTGCATGGATGGGGCAAGAGGTGTTGCACCGGGTATTGGTTGAGAAGCCTGAGGGGAAGAGAGTGCTGGGGAGACCTAGACATAGATAGGAGGATAATATAAGGCGGGATCTGTGGGAGATAAGAGTTGAAGGTGACTGGATTTTGTTGGCCCAGGACAGGGTCCGGTGGAGGGCTTTGGTTTATTCGGTGATGAACCTTCGGATTCCGTAATCCTTCTAGTTAGTTTGTTAGTTATGTTACGTATGGCATATTGTCAATACCTTACAAAGTTTCCTATTTGTACCATACATCGCAACAGTTTAGAAAGCATTGGTAAATAACAAGAAAGTTGCAGTAAGAATGTTTGCTGTTTGTTGGATATCCAGCTCCAATTTTCCCCAGAAAGGCTCTAGATACCAAGTCATGATAACAAGCATATCTTCTGGTGCAAAGAAATGCCACTACTAACATTTATGTTAAGTTATTTAGAGTTTAGTTTCCAAGTTTCAGTTCAGTTTGTTAAGTTAGAAATTGTCACTGCAACTGCATTAATGATTTGTGTTGATGTTAAACGAGTTTATTAGTCAATATCTCTGTATCTTGTAAATTGTAGTTTGAACTACTTTGTATTTAATATATATGCTTATTTAAATGAATGTGTTGTGACATGTCTCTACCTGTTTTTCAGACACTTTTGATGTTGTTAGACATTCTAGCAACAAAATACAGATAATAGATTTTGGTCTATTTAACCCAAAAAGGACAATGCCACTGCTCTTCACTTGGGGAGATCTGTGTGCAAAGGAAAGAAATCTGAATGCAGAGATTCCAACAATAGAATTTCGGATTCTTGGTGAAGATCCAGGAATCCTGCCAAATCCACATGCTCATTATGGTATTCCTCAGGACTTCATTAGTATGCGTGCGGATGGAAATGATTCGTCTGTAATGGACTGCGTTGTTGAGGTGAGTGAAATTCTGTCTGAATAAATCAGAATTGTTATTTTAAATATTGAAGGGTTCCAGGCATTTTAAAAGTAAGGTAAATGACCTCCACGCAAAAGATGTTGGGTTTTAGGATGGCTGGCTCAATTTGGACTTTTTGGAATTTTCCCTTCTCTGACCTCTCATAAAGCAAAATACATTTCTAAATATGATGAATACCACCATTGTTCAGAGTCTCATCAAGGTGTAGGTTCACCTTCCTAGCTGCGATTCTCCCAACTAGAACAGGGCTCCAGTAAATGCTCATTCATTCATCTTCATTGCGTTTGGAAAACAGTGGTGAGGATGGCTTGGCTGTCTTCTAGGATGGAGCATTGTATAGTCTGGTAGATACTGATTGATGTTTCAGAGGTAGTTACTGCCTCCATTATCTTGGCAATGAGTCAGCATTATGGATACTTTTGATCATTTGTTTGAGAGAAAGCCTAATAAAGAAAAATATTTTTCCTCTACTTGTTATTTTCCTTAGTAGTTCTTTGCCATGTTGCCCCACTTTCTCTATTCCTCTGTGTTCATCCATCCTGTATTCTATCTTAATTTCTGTTCATCCTCTCTTACAACTAATCATACACTTCCTCTGTTCCTTCTTTATTGCCTACTGTCCAATGCCCTTTTCTTAATTGTTTATTCAAATGATGTTTAACCTATTCTTCAGTACTGTCATATTACCATGTGCTGAAATTAAATGTTTTTGCTTACCATAAATGCATGTTTGATATTCAGGATATGACACATTTTGGCTTTTAAAGTTAATGCACATTAGTAATGTATACAAACAAATTTTTCCTTGTATGTTAATTATGCTATCACATGAATGGAAATTAGAAATGTAGCAGATTTCATAATCATAGAATTTACACATAAATTTGTAACAGTTAAGGCACTTTTTGAAGTATTATATTCATGTGTTATGAATTAATATTCCATAGTTATACTTGATGTTCATATTAAAATGCAACCCGACTTTATAATATATGACAGTTTTCATGGTGATTTAGGAGAAGGGGATTGCAGGAAACCAAGCCTCGTCTCTTCCAGCTTGTTTTTGCTAAGAATCATGCACCTATGATTGTATTTTCCAGTTCAACACATTGCTAGTCTCATGGAACATCCTGATTAGGCAATTGACTGTTACTTTGACACTGACGTGTTTAGAAACACTTCTTTAAAACTTGTAACCACAATGTAAATGATTTCCTAGCAGAATAATGCCCTGCAATGAAATTTCTTCGTTCAAAAATAAGACCCATCTTGCGTGTTTAGATATTTGATATATTATACACTAAGTAAAATAATTATGTGTATATCTCTTACAGGAAGTTGAGAATCAGGGATTGAGAGAAGCCACTGAAGATGACTCATAAAATGCTTCCTTATTAAGTGATTTTAAAAAAATAATATACTGAGACATGGGATGCATTGATTGTAATCTCCATAGATAAGCCCATATTATTTGTATTTCTCTGCATTTAATGTCTCTTCTAGCTCTGGGTTTTCAAAGTGTGACCCAAATCAAATGCTCTGTGCCTCATGGCAATGGATTGACATTTTCTGATGTATTTGCGAAAAATCTTTTTTTATTTGTAATGATGAATAAAACTGAAATTCTGAAATCTTGCTAGTTAGCAATAGTTTGTATAAAATTATGTACTATAGGTGGTGCTGCATTGGACACCCTTACTACCACTGGCATTGAGCAGGAGTATATAAATTGTGATTTTCATTTACATTTTGTCAGATACTTTGTGACAGCTGTAACCTGAAGTTGAAGTTCTACAAAAGATGATAATCTTTTTATTGTCATCCTCTGCATCATTGGGTTTTTAGCTCAGGTTAAATACTGTACAAATCACACAATAAAAACTCTGTATTTTACCTACAGTTTTAAGTCTGTTGCATTATGTGATGTAATATTCTCTTTCACATACACAAAATAGAATGTGACCCTGAAGACATCTTGGTTTCAAAAGTGGTCTTTTCATTGTAATATAAACATTAGGAGCCCCACTTCTAGAACATACCTATATTATTTTTGTAAGGATATTTATGAATATTCTTGTGTAATATTTTAAACATTTATTTTGCTTAACATTTCAGGAATCCATTCCTCTCTAGTATTGTGAATATATTTTGTTGAAATTTAAGACTAGAATTCATTGTTTTGGAATTTGTTTAAATGAAAGTGGTGTTTTATTACACTGTAAAATTCGTGTGTTTAGGTGCAACAAAAGTCTTGTGTTGTGACAGTGATAAAATGTAAGAATAGGTTACAGATTTTTGTTAAGGATGTAGATATGTTCAAAAGCAGAGAACATTTCATTACATTGATGCATTACTACTGAAGCCTGTAATACCATTTAATTGCTATAGTATTTCATTTGCTTTTATTTATTTTTTTACCTTATGTGATGGCTAATGTATCTAGTGTTACCATGCACAGGATATATTTAATAGTGAAGAGAGAAAAAATGTGAAGCCTACATACTGCCCAAGGACTGCAGATTGCCAATAGCAGTGATGAGGAATTGAAATAGAGGGACAAGGTTTCACACTCGAGTCAAGGATATGTCAATGGTTCTGTGGTGAAATTTGAAACTGCGAAAAGAGAAACCGGTCGTCAGTGGGTGTTCTGTTAATTGCGGATTCCAGCTATTCGTAGTATCCCAGCTGTATACGTTTTGCAACCCACTGCGGTTTACTGTATCCACCTGACTCCTGCACTAATGGTTAGTACAACCATCCGTATCGTCTGTCTGTGCCGTGATCATCATCACGGAATTAAGTTCCAGCAATCTAATGTCTCTCACGTAAATTTGAAAAGCTGGCGATTGCTTTATTGTAATAAATGTACTTATCGTGTACAGGTATAATTATTAAGCATGTTATTATTTATATGTTTAGTTTAGGAACAGGTAATTTATGTTTTATAAAGTGTTAACAGCTGCCACTATTCCATTATTTTCAGATTTATCATGAAGCTCTAATCCTGCCTTCCCCATTGTTTCCAGAAACTTCACCCATGAAGTTCGTTGACAAGGGATTGCTGTACATTTAAAATGTCTTTAAAGGGATAGATGCAGATACTTTTTCCATGGACTGAAAGATGCGAAAATTGTCACTTTAGCGCTAGCGTCGATTTATGTAACCTAATAGTCGGAGTTCTATTCACGATGAATTCAGTACAAAGCATGAAAGCGTAGTTGAATTTAATGTGAGTAAAGAAGGTTGTGTCATGGCGGTGTGTGTATGTTTTGGTAGTAAGTGCTTGGCAGCTTGAATTAAATACACGGTTTTCGAAAGCGAGATGGCTACGAGCACGAAAAGCTCGAAGCCATCAAAGACTGCAATAGAACAGTTCTGTACTGTAACAGGTAAGAATTATATTACGTGCTGCATTGACATGGATTGCATCAACTGCTATTGTTACTTTGCCGCATGAACGATTTGGATTTATGATTTTATAAACAAACGTGTGAACGAGTTAATGATGTTTGGAACGTGACTATTTAAATATTTGTTTTTATCCTTCCCAATTTCATTTATAGTAATGTTAGTTTTCGTTGTACATTTTCATAGGAGGTTACTGATTGAACGGTTTGAAGCCAGAAGCTCTTCTAAATATTTCTAAAACTTTGTTAATACCTCAGAGAAAAACCAACGTCTTCATTACCAATATTAATTGATTAATGCTATTCAGAGAAGTATTGCTGTTTATTCAATCATATGAAACCCACAAATACGCCGTGGACAGTATTCAATTATTGAATGTTCCTGTATTTGTTTATACTATATTTAGCTAAGAATATATAGTGTCAAATGAGAGGATGATAGTGAATGGTAAACTGGGATTGATGTAAGAGTGGTTGTGGCCTGATTTAAGGTACTTACCTGGAATTTGCCTGGAGTTGCTGAGGAAAACCATAAATCTCATATAGTTGGTACATACAGTCACCCCTCATTTGTAAAGTATTAATGTGTTACACTGTGCTATGATAAGGTTAACACATACTAGATAAGGATGGTGGCTCTGCGATGTTATGACCCCTTGCTGAATATTGAAGTGTGATGTTTAACAACTGACTTTCTTTTAGAGAGGTGTGGGGTGAAGAAAAGAAGTTTTTTTCCTTAGTTAGCTTATTAGTGCTTTATTAACTACATACATGAATACAATTAAGTGACAGGTTGATTAAGACAGAATGGAAGGGATGATTAAAGAAGTGGTTTATCAGAAAGCAATTGGAGGGACTAAGGAAAACCATGAAGGCTCATTGAGGGCACTACTACTCTGACTGAGGCCTACAGTCATAATCTAAAATTTTTGAGCTTTATAACCAAGACCTATGTACCCATTCGTCTATTGGCAATTGAAAGCCATATGTATTTATGAGAATTCACCATTTTCCTCCCAAGGTGTATGCACATTAGGGATTTTCTGAGTGCTTATAAACATATCATAATACTCAAAAGTAACAAAGTTAGTATTAAATTTGAAGTTTTCTGTTGTGGTATGGGCTTATATATTACATATAATACATTAATCACATTTTATGTACTACTATATAATAATTTTATTTAACTGTAAATATATTTGTATAGTTAAAATAAACAGAATTATTTATGAGCACCATGTGTCAGCATAATATCATAATTAGGCTGCCCTACAATATATCTTGTTAAAGTAGAAAATTTGTTATTGCTTGTACCTTATTTATTATGTCAAAACATGTTGCTTATAACTAATTTTGTAACTATGTAGTTGCTACCAGTTTAATTAATAAAACAATTTGTTTTGTGTAAGATGTGATTAATATATTATTTACAACTTCTTGATAGGTAGTTGTAATAAAAGGGCCCAGTTTTTTATATTTGTCCAACTATTTTCATAGGGGCGTCAAAGGAAGCTGCAGAACAGATGTTGGAAGTTTACAATGGTAATGTTGAAATGGCCGTCAACATGTTCTTGGAGGACCAAGATGGAGCATCTTCTTCTAGTCATGTTCGGGACCCAATTCCACCCCAGCAGGAGGTACTTGTTGACACAGCAGGATTTCAGGGAAACTCTAGCAGAACAAAAAGAGCAGTCCATTCTGTGTTTGACTCATTCCGAGATTTCCAAGTTGAAACACGTAAGTTTATAATATACGTAAACAGATGAAATATTTAAAGCTTTGTGTGTTTTTCTTTTTTAATCAAAGCATACAGTTATGAACCATGAATAATGGGAGTATAAATATTGTGCCTTAAAAGAAACAGGCATTTCAGAACATCATACTCAGTCAATAAGGACCAGTGATTAAAGGTAAGAAAATGTTTGGCTGTGTTTGAGCTAGAGAACTTAGTTTTGGTTCATGTGAAAGTGAATTAAATGTAGTGTCCAATGATGTTTCCTATGCATAAGTTTAACATACTTTGGCTTCAAGGTCACCAAAGTTGACCTTTGATCTTGAATTCTTGCTGTATTCCATTTAATCTTCCTTCACCTCATCATCATAATGTTTGGTGAAGAGTATAAATTATGGAGTCCATTATATAAGTGTTTCTAAAAATCACAGTGGTACACGAAAGGTGCATGGGTTATTTTAATATTTCGTGCCTCCTGACATATTTCCCTATCATTTATTCTTGTTACAGCTGCAAAGCAGTAGATTATTGTGTTCCCAAGCCTCAGAATATAAATTAATGGCTTGTGCTTTGTCATTGTTTATTTGTTGTAGAGAGCACATAGTTTTAGTATGCTTGTGAAATGCATTCAGTTGAAGAGAGTGTTTATTTGCAATACTTTTGCAGAGTGTGTAATGTGGAAAAAGTGTTGTTGAAAGTTTAGTAAAAAATATACTCCATCAACAGTGTCATGTAATTGAACAATATACAGAATAATAGAAAAATTTTGAATGAGAGGCTGGACAAAGGAAAATACAAAACACCATGTTCTAACTGAAGAGAAATTAGTGTGATGCAAGATCTCTTCACTGAAGACTGGGAAGTAAGAAACTGATATTGCATGTGGTTTCTAGAATTGGTATTCAGCAGGTTTTCTGTATCTGGAAGTTGTGTTTTCCTCTAGTGAGGCATAGTTTACCTTAAATGGGAATGTAAACAGCTAGAATAACAGATATTGGTATGCCAAAAATCTGTTTACAGTTTATGAAGTTCCTTTGTGTTACCTAAAAGTTGGAGTCTGGTATAGGACTCATGTTTTTCAAAGAAATATTCAATTCTGACACCATTCTTTTGTGAATTAACTGAAGAAGACAAAATGTATTGTTACTTTATGCAAGACAGTGCTATGGCCCACACAGCAAATTTCTTAATGACTGTACTGAAAGTGGTATTTGGCAAACAGTTTATAAGTCTTTGATTTTGTCTTCCTAGATCTCTGGATCTGAAGCCACATGATTTTTGTATATATGGGACACTAAAAGACAAAATTCACGTTGACAAGCCACATTTATTGCAAGAGCCGAAAGAAAGTATTTGAAGATAAATTGATGGTATTTCAGGACAAGAGCTCCATTTTGTTGAGAAATATTTTTAGAGGCAGGGAGTTAGCACTTTGAGTCTTGTACAAAATAAGGTAAGTTTACTTGAAGGGAAAAATGGATTCTAAATTCCTGGCACCTGCTGGCTTCCTGTGCTGTAATGCATATACGACAACTTAGATACTCCAGGATGCGATAAATTTACCATTCTATAGAATAAATATACACTATTTTATCAGATCAATTATGCTTGAAGACTGTTCACTAGATGGGAAATAATTTGTTATCTAACCAGTGAGTAGTCAGTTTATTATGTGTAATTGCTGATGCTTGTTGGTAGGTGTCAAAGGATTGTGTTCTGTAAACTGCAGCAGTCCTCAAGAACCTCATGACTGGAAGATGTATTTTGAATAATTTTGTGTGTTCTTTCAAAGTTTTAGTGACAAATGATAGATTTGTATATTATGTGCTGAGTAATAGTGGAGAGTATTTAAGGAATTCTGTTATTTTTGTAGGTCGGCAAGAAGAAATGATGACAGGATCTAATGTGTCACCAATGAAGAGAAGTTTGGAAGACTTGTTCCGTCCTCCATTGGATCTCATGTTTCATGGAACATTCCAAAATGTGAGATACATTCCTTGGGTGAAAAGACCAATTTTTGAATTTAAAAATAGAATGGTTTTAGTTTAGTACATATTTTCAGATACTGTATATTTCAAAAAGTGAACCCTTAAAAATGAACTTACTGTATGAGGATGAAGTGAGCTAATTCAAGTTCGTACATAAATGTGGAAAAGTGCTACAGGATATGAGAGTCTGCAAGAACATAATGTTTCCTACTTTTATGTCATAGTTTACAAGGTAAATATGCAAAAATTACACTATGTTGCCACAATATTGCTGAAAACAATGTCCCTGAAGTCTATTTGCAGATATACTCATAGTCTGTCAATTTTGTCAATAATGGGAGGTAAGGTTCACGTATGTGAAGAAGGCTGAAAATGTGTACTGAAAAGGAATAAAAATATTTTTCAAATGATTTCTTTGTGAATTTCTGTCTACTATGCTCTTATTAAATTATTTGAGATATAATATTTTTCTAAATTTATTTTGCCTTCTCCATTTTGTCTGAATTATTGAGTCATATTTGCAGCAAATACTCTACAAATTAGTAATGTAGGAATGTGTAACTTTGTTTTTATTTTTATTAGCAATACACCATACAAAAATGTTTCAAATAGCTTAAGAATACTTTATTTTCTATCGTATATCTATTTTTGTATAATTTATAAGTTTCATGTAAAGTAGGTATATTGCACTGAGATGAACGAAAGTAAATGTTACTAATAACAGTGGTGTAAACCTACAATAACAGAGTTCATCAGATTATTTTAGGTAATTTCAGAGGTAAGTCATATGGATCGACATACAAATGTGACTCCATATTATGCTTTAGTTGTATGCATTTTATGCAGAGAATGCATTTGAAGATGCCAGTGATCATTCAATATTTTCAGGCTAGAGATGCTGGAGTAGCCCATCAGAAGTGGCTCATGGTCAATGTGCAGAATGTATTGGAGTTCTCATGTCAGATTCTAAATCGTGACATATGGTCAAACAAAGCCGTCAAAACTGTCATCAAAGAGCATTTTATTTTTTGGCAGGTAAGCTTCTTAAATTCATTGTCTTCAATTTCGTTTTCTTGCTTAATTAAGTATACTTTTTCAATGTTATGTCCTTGTTTCAAATTATATATTATATGAGACTTTTAGAAGAGGGGTGTGATTTTTCAGGTATATTTAGACAGTGCTGAGGGTCAACGGTATGCTGCTTTCTACAGTGTGTCAGATTGGCCATATGTAGCAATTATAGACCCACGCACAGGGGAAAGTCTAAGAGTGTGGAATAAAATAGATGGGTCTTCATTTTGTGATACTCTACTGGAATTTCTTTGTCGGCAACAGTCAATGAGAAACCCCCAAAAGAGAGCCAAACTCTCTGTCTCTCCATTGGCAGCTGAGGTTTGTTTTATTTATTGAGATTTTATATTTAGTTTTAGAAGGACTAGACACTTACTTAAATTGTACTTATTAACAGTCAACGTATGAACTAGTTATAATCATATTGTTTATAAATTACTAATAACATTATTGCTTATTACTTCTAGTGGAACATAACTGATATGACAAAAAGCTTGACTTCTTGGGGTTAGTCATTTAAGATTTAAACTAACAGTATTAAATTCAGTAAACTTCTGATTATTCATGTGCAGATTACCTGTGTACAATCCCCCCCATAAATGCAGATGTGAAGCAATTTTTTACATATTTCCATGCTCTACTGCCATATTTGGAGGGGGGTTGGGTTGTTGTGGGAGGTCTACAGAATGTATGTTCGAACAATGCAGATTCTCACCTGGTTACACAAGTCTCAACTTATGCAAATTATTCCATGAAGCACACCTACTCTGCTCTGTCTGTGCCCTTGCCAGCCAGTGACTAGCCTGATGATATTGACCCCAAGGATATAATGACTACAAAGTGATGCATGTGAAGTGGCCTTCCACCGCATGACAGTCAGCCAGTGATGCTGCAAAACAAAAGTGAGATGAAGAGGGCAGGAGAAGATGAGAATAAAATTTGTACTGCTGTGAGGAGTGTAAACAGTTCAGAGCAACTGCTACAAAATATTTCTCAAAATAAATGCCATTTATGTTAAAAAAGAAGTAAAGTAATTTGCGTAGTTCTGTGAAAGCACCAAACAAAATATTTTAGATTATTAATTATTTTCAGTTATTCATGTGTCTTCTCCACATAATTAACCTGTATAATTGGGAGTTTACTGCACATTTGATTGACAACTGTGTTTTGAAATATGGCTGAAAAGAGATATTTGATTGTAAAGAAATTCTTCAGATGATTACTCAAATTCAGTTTTAAAATCCTTTTCAGGATGCTCCAAATGGCTTAGTTCATACATCATCTAGGCATGTTAATGTACCTGAAATCTCACCTCCTTCGGGGACCACCACTGCAGAAACTGAAACTGACTCAACTCCACCAAGCCATGCTATTCCATTGGCTCTTGTAAATAAGCCATCTGTTTCTGGTTTGGTAAGAAATTCAGATAGTAAAAGTATTCTTTTCACATCATACACTGTTTGCCTAAAACATTTGTTATACTTTTTGCATGGGATTGAAAGGCAGAAAATTACTCCAATGTATGAGATTCGAGGTTGTAATTTCAGTGAAGGTGTTGATTGTAATCTTCAGTTGTGAAACCGTTTGGACTTGTGCACGGGTTGGGTACTTACCTTCAAGTCCACATGGCACCCCAAGAGACCACTATCAACACTCCAATGTAGTATAATTTCTTGATTGAGACTTTTTTCACATTTTAAAATTTCTGAAAATGGAGTGCATCTTACATTTGATGGTGGCTAAGAATTTATATCAAAAATTTATATGCTTTGACCAAAGCACAAGGAAAATCTTCATGTCCATAACACAACATTGTCATGGGACAGTAAACAAAAGATTGCTGTCTTCTGGGTTGCACCGTGTAGTCTGGTAGATTTCCACCGTTTCAGAGGTCATACTATCTCTGTCATCAGGGCGTCCTGATGACGGAGACAGTATGACCTCTGAAACAGTGGAAATCTACCAGACTACACCGCACAATAACCCAGAAGACAGTAATCTTCAGGCTCACCACTGTGAAAGCCTCAAATCCTATATAAACAAATGACAGCAACAAAAAAGATTGTGAAAGTTTTAATACAAAGAAGTTTTATGTTGAATATTGGCAATTTCTGTTGTGATATACAAATTGTTTTCCTGAAAATCTAATATTAAATCAAGGGTGTGCCTCACAGTCAATGTTGTCATAAAATTGAGTAAATATGGTGTGTTCTTTGTTACTTCTCATTGGCTTGTATGTTCATTTATTGCATATACAACTCTGTTGTTTCAAAGCTAAGATATTAGCTGTATCACTGCAAAATTTAAGTTATTTGTTTTTATTTTGATTTATTTAAGATCATTGTCATTAGCTCAGATTGTAGTGTCTAGCAATAGGATGAATATGAACAGTAAATTAGAAAGGATGTGGAAGAAAGTGGTGATGACCTAGTCTTTTCTCACTAGTCATTCCATAGTGGTGTGCATTTCAAACTTCTCTATTTTTCTAAATACTCTGTACAGTGTAACCATGACATCCCAGCTTTCTTTGTGCTGGTTTCTTGTAGTGCATTCTGTAGTATGGCACTTCTTTAAAAACCCTTATAGTATTTGAGTTCTGAAAATCAAGGTGGATTAATCTTTGTTTCTGTTTTGTAACTGTCTACCTGGCAGATTCTTGGTTTCCACTCTGCTTCTGTTGATGCTTTGTGTAAATGTCTGTTAACCCTGCTGTTAACATGGGAAATATGTTATTCACTTTCATTTTATTTTTTGCATGTTTAAATAAGTACTACACATTTCCTTCTTTTTATTTAATCATTTATCTGGCTGCACATTTGACATGCTGTTTTGCTAGAGTACAAGTTTAAAGATCAAAGTGCTATATCAGTGATACATTCTCATTTTGTAATATGCATAAATTATTGTATTTTTAAAACAATGTCTTGAAATTTTGATGCATAAGTATTTTAAATTCTCTAGTGTATTGGACATTTTGGGTTCTCACAGCGGTGAAGATGTTGATGTTGGTCATCTGCGTTGCAACACCATGTGGACTTTTATGTAGATACCAGCATTTTGAAGAAACATACTTTCTCCATTTCCAGGGCTGTAGCCCTGGTGTTACAACCCAGAAGACCAACATTGACAGTGGAAAAGATTCCAGTGCCGTAGCTGTCTAGAGGCTGGCTTCAAGTAAAGGGTTGTTTTACAGGCACACTAGTTTGTCACTCTTCCAGCTGGACCACACGTAAGCTGTTTCTCATTGTGCTGCATGGATGATAAAGTTTAATAAGGGAAATTACTAGAACTGTGTTTGTTGACTGGACTGTATGCTTCACAGTTCTTATTGTCTTCGCCGTTTTCATCCACACATTCTTCAGTCGATACATTTTTTATTTTCTCGGGTTATTTTATTTTGTGTACTTACCTACGTTATTGCTTTTTTTGCTGGCAGGCATCTTCACCCTCCACTAGTGCAACACTGCCATTAAAACACACTGCCAATTCTCAGAATATTTGTAAGACTGAGACTTTTACTTCTGTACCAGCTACCCACACGCCAGCAGAATATGATGTGCCTGCTTCAGATTCTGTAAGTCTGTTCTCTTCTTACAAATAGATGATTTCAACACATTCAGACCCATAGTAGACTTCCAATGCAATTTTCTGTGTTAAATGCCTGCAGTTGTATATTTACAGTGTGGTGTAGGATTTAGCTTTTAATCTTGTTGTTTTCCACAGTCAGTGGATGGCGCTCAGTGTTCAAATATTGAAATAGAATACTTAAGGCAACATATAAAATAAGTCTTATTGGGATATTTGTATTTCAAAAATGTTGCATGCACTCCCTGGCTTGGCTGTGGGAATAGTCTGATGAATTTTAATTTGGGCCTGAACATGTTCAGATAGTACAAATAAGTACAATATTGCAAAATAATGTTAACTTAGAGAGTTGGAAATAATTATACTTCTTGAAATATAATGTGTGTTATAGGTTTAATAGTTCATATTGTAGGATACCTAAAGGCTCTATGAAAGTTTCAGTAAACCCCCACTTTAAGCATTACATGTAACATATCAAGATGCCTATTAAAATTTATCGTTGTTATATGTTTGTACCATTGTGTGGTTAGCTGCTGTAGTGACAGTTAATGACCCATTTACATTCAGCTTGGAACTGTGACTTAGCCGTGTGTATATCATTTATCTTATGCTAAAATATGTAGGTAGTGAATGCAGAATATATAATTTATACCAGTGGTATTCAACCTTTTTTTGTTCGAGTACCCCCAGATATAATTTCTCTTCAACTTTGTACCCCCAAAGTTGTTTTGGTGTATAATTCAAGTTATACATAGTATATAATCTACATCTAAAATAAATTAAATAAATTACATCCAAAATAATGTATTAAATGTGGCCCTGATTATTCAGTGCTTATCATAAAATAATATTTTTTTAAATTTCACATACCCCTAAGATGTCTTTGCGTACCCCAGGTTGAATACCACTGATTTATACTATATGCAGACTGTCCAGTGAAATATCTTCCAGATTTGGCTAATTGTGAGCAAAAAATGTTACATTAGCATGGGATAAAATCTCAAATAGTAATGGTGAATGGAAAGGAGGAAACTCAGAGGAAAGTGTGAACTAAATTAAATTATTTTAACTGAAGAAATTAATCAGCTACATAGGAATTGTATTCTTCTCTTGTTTAACATTTAACTATTTCCATGGCACAAATTGACCCTGGGATCAACCATCCACGTAGATAGGTGGCAGCGAAAGTGTTAAAGAACTAAGTTGTATAAATGTGGTAGGTTTTGCGAAATTTTAGTGTTATTTAAATTTATTTGTATTTTAGAAATCCATGTTGGATGCAAATGAGGATGATCAAATTGCAGCAGCAATTAAAGCATCACTAGTAGAGAAAATTGTCAATGGAACTGATTCAGCTAGTAGTGATAAGTCCAATAAGTCCATTAAAAATCAAGTTGACTGTTCAAGTTTAGATGAAGATAAAACTACTGCTGATGAAAGTTGGAAGTCATACCTTGGGACTGGTGATGGTAAGTACTTAATTTAAATGAATGAGTGAAAATTTATTACATGATTTGTGTTTTGAAACCACAATAACCTGTCCTTAACAGACTAAATACCGGGTGCGGCAGAGGAAATGCATGTTTTTCAAATAACAATAACTCAGTTGATTTTCAACTTAAAAAATTTTAATTACATAAAAAGAAAGGTTTTACAATGCAGTTTTTGTTGAACATTTTTGAATCACTTCCGAAAAATAACGTCTGTCAGGTGACACCTTCCTTCTGTACACACTTGCAGCCTCTCCTCAAAATTCTGCATTGCTCTTCCCAACATTTCTTCCCCCACAGTAGTGATTTCCTGGCGAATGGAATCTTTCAGTTCCTGGATGTTGCGTGGTTTGTTTCTGTAGACCTTTGATTTGAGGTAACTCCACAAAAAATAGTCGGCCAAGGGATATCACTGAAAGAGGAGATGAACAGCAATTACGGATTCACTACTTTTGATATAATTTTCAACGACAAACACCCGATGCTCGCGGGTCCATGTTGCCATGGCTACTGAAACTGCATCATCTAAGCTGTCTACTAGCAAGGGGCAGAAATCCCCCACCCTCCTCCTCGCCTAGTACTAGCTATTCGAAAAACATGCGTTTCCTCTGCCGCACCCAGTATATAGAGAACCCTTGAGTTAATTAAATGATCATTTACTGGCACCATATATTGATAGAGAACATACATTATTTGAACATTTATGAGTTATGACACTTTACAAATTTAACAGCTTCCTTTTAAAAGCTTGTTGTGGGGAATATTAGTACTGGTAAGGTAGCTGACCCTTGAGTGTGCATCTTGAAACTTTGTTCTTGGGTTTGCAGCAGTGTCAGCAATATGTTTCAAAGATGAAAACTATATAGCAGTTAAACCATTTCATCTTAAAGATTAACATCTGGAACTAAAATAAAATTGACATAATTTTTTGCGCATAAAGGATCTTTGAAGATTGGATCTTAGTATAGTAGTCACTTTCTTCTCTAATATGACTGATATGAATCCTGGAGTTTCTAATTCATTTCTTCCAGGCAAATGCATTGGTTTTTGATTTGATAATGCGTGATCTGCCTACAGCATCATAAAATAAACAATATAATGTATTTGTATCTTAATTGCGCTGTGATAAATGTAATATTATACGACACAGAAAAGCGCCATAAAATATAACATAATGCAATTTATATTGTAAATGTTATAAATAATTTTAACATTATTTTAAAACAAGTTTTGTGTATAGACTGGAAAAATAAATATATGTATTAATATAATGTATATTACATTTGCTTCTTCAAAAATTGTAATACTGTTATCTGAAGTCCACAAATAACAGTGAGCATATGCAAAGTCTACTTATGCTAATTATCTTTTCAGAAGTGAAGATGAGCTTCCTTCTTCGTTATCCTGATGGGACAAGAGAACAACTAGTTATTCCAGAATCTGCTCAAATTAGGGTGAGAATAGCTTTGTGTGTGTGTGTGTGTGTGTGTGTATATATATATATATATATATATAACATTTAGTAAAACAGAGCTGCTTGTGCTTAATGAGAAGACTTTGGAGATTTGTCAGGGTATAAAATCATCAGTGTAACATACACAGCATAAACATTCTTGTATTCAGAAATAATGTATTCCATTGACTTTACAAATTATTACACATCATGATACAGCATTAGCAAAGTAATAAAGGTAGATAATAATTGTCTATATAGCATAACTCTGTTACGTGGATTATCACTAAATAAACAAAATCATAAAATCCTACATTAAATTCCAGTAGAGAGAAACAACTTGTGACTTTGTTATCTTCATATTTAAATATCTTCCAAACTATAAATAAACACCATTTATTAAATTTGTTTTTAAGTTTTAATTGAAATGATTTGATAGAGTTCAAAAATACTGAATATGTATTCATGTCTCATTACCAGAATTATGGTACAAGACAACTGTAAAAAATCCTTTGCAGTTATGGCAGAGTTCAAATACTTGACACAACAAAAACAGACCTATGTAAGGGATCCCTTTCCCTTCCATGGTCATTCACTCTGAAGATGACAATTGAAATGTTTGCCAAAATAGTAGAACACCTTCAGAATACAACACCACTGAACTCTGATGGGCATAGTTTTATGTTATAATTTTATCTATTGTTTCCTATGGCATGCAATTTTATCAGTCAGTCTAAAGGAATGAGTAGAAGAAGAAGAGTGTTGAGTACAATATTTTAACATAGGACAGATTGAGTAGCAGGTGAATGGAAAACATTAACTTATATAATGAAGAGTTCACCTATCCTTTGGGGGGGGGGATAAAATGTTGTTTTCCCTTTAACCCTTCAGTGATGGCAACTATTTAAATTATGTCATACCTGTGGACATTGGATATTTGAACCCTGTATTCCTGGTATTTACCATGTATAGAGTTTGGCATCATGTGACAAAACTGAGTTCTGTACCAGGTATGGAAGCCAGTACTGAAGGGTTAAATGTGGCTTGGAGCAGCAGACAGAATAGTTGAGTCAGGTAGCTGGTACTCAGTTTGTTAACAATGCTTTCTTAATTGCATATGTAATTTTGCATTAATGGTTTGATGACTGTGAGTGATAAATTGGGAAAGATATACTGGTCATGGCCTATTTTAAGGTACTGACTCCAACATTTGCCTAAAGGGACTGAGGAAATCAAAGAACCTCATGATGGCTGGCCTCCAGGCTGGGATTCGAACCTGCGACATTTCGTTTCATTCTTGCTTATCTTAGAAAATGAGATGGCTGTAGCTCCATAATGAAGCATTTCCAGGCAGAGGTTGGCTAAGATTTTTCAGCCGTGTCTGGCATCCTTATGCCACTCCATGCAAGAAGGTACATATTTCCAAAACATCCTGTATGTTATTGGAATTAGCATGGAACTTTAAATAATTTAGTGTTCTTGTTTTGTAATAAAATATCATGCGTTGTTGTTTCAGGCTCTCACATTATATGTTGCTTCCAAAGGCTTCTGCAAGAAAGATTATGAAATGGTTATAAACTTCCCACGGCGTGTTCTCTCTGATATGGATGGGACCATTGCAGTGAAAGATTTAGGACTGCACCGGCAGGAAACAGTATTTGTGCAGTTCCGATGATGCAGAATGTGTCGGAAACCTTTGACAAGGGTTATTAAATTTATCCTAGGGTGTTCAAATTTCTGTACTCAAACCTCATGTCTGATCCATCCTTCTTATGAAAGATAATAAGTTCAGAAAGCATACTAAAGCATAAAAAAAGATAAAGAGTTTTATTATTTAAAAAAGACACTATTAATATTATTGAAATTAAGGATTTTTTTTATAGTTCCTAATATTTAGGACTGTGACAGCTCAGGATTGCTGATTAGAGAACAATGAAGTATAACTAAAATGTTAACGTGTAATGTGACAACAGTGCCAGGTGTTCAGTAGGTAACATAGAGTGTGTTACACTCATTTTTTATTTCAACATAGACATTGAAAAGAGAAGGAACAGTATATGAAAATCCTCCCTCCTACCACATACTATATTTACTGTGGAGCACTTCAAACATTTGTCCCAGTGATATGCCACCTCTTCAGTTTTCACCGAGAAGAAATCAGGGCTTTGCATTTGAATATGTTGGAATACTCTGGTGTTTACATCATATCACACCAATAATGTTTTGCTCTGAAGTGCTTCTTTGGTGGTTCAAAGAGGTAGAATTTACTGTGCAAGGTTTGAGCTGCATAGTGGATGAGCAAAACACTGCCAATGAAACTGCTCCAGGAGTTGTGTTGTGAGTAATTGTCACAGAACAGGATCAATTCCTCTATGAGAAAAACAGATCCTTTTCTCCAGATGACTTCCTTTATGTGCCTTAGTAGCACTCTGCAATCAGTTGTCCTGTGGTTCAAGAAATTGGAATGAGGAGAATGTCCTTTGCATCCCAAAATATCTATAACAATTTCCTTAATGACCATGATGCAAGTGGCATTGAAGGTGTGTGTGGTAGAGAGTTCCATTTGCAACACCTGCTCTGCTCTCATTTGCTTAGGTACTCATCTTGCTAACAATTTTGTGATATCCCAGCATATCATGAATGATATGATGTAGTGTACCAAGTGAAGATGTTTGTGCTCACAGGAACCTGATGCTGTCACATATCTGGCCTTCCACACAGGACACAACATTCACTTGTGTAATTTGTGCATCATTCTAACAAATTCCATAGCTACTGCTGCCATGTTTAAAGTTTCTTAGTTCCGTCACCAGTGATGAAACATGGGTTCATCACTTCACCCTGGTATGAAGGGCTGCATGACAGCAGTTTGGGATGTTCAGGACATTTTCCTTGGGTTCTGGAACTTGGGGCAGCTGTAAATATAGATCACTATTGCACAACACTGCATTATCAGGAAGCTATCCAAATGAAACTCCTTGGCATTTTCACAGCAGTGCCAACCCCCTATATACACCTCATGTCACAACACAGTTCCTGGAGTTATTGCATGTTTGTGTTTATATTTCATTAATTTGTTGTTTTGTTTGATACATAAAATGTTCCACCCAATTTTCCACAAAAGCAATACCACCCGTATCTTGGGGACTCTTTTGTCATATATTTTCTTTCAAATTCATTGTGATTTGTGTTCATCACACAGTTGTCATCTTTTGATGGCTTCCTCATCTTATATTTAATGAATTATTTGTTTCACTCCTTGTACTATGTAATAAGTTCCCATTTTTTTAACTTTGTATTTTATAATTTGTACTGTTTGAATTGTGTTTAAAACTATTTTACTTGTTTGTATGGAAGTTAAATACAGAGTTTTGTTTTGAAATGAAGTGTTATAAAACTTGTGTTATTCTGTGATAATTATTACAGAAACAGATGTTTCCATGTGTTTGCACCATATTTCGTGATTTACCTTTTACTTTCATTTACAGAACTGCATTAACAATTATTAACTGTTCAGTTAACCATATTTTACAGTAATTATAAGGCCTTATGCAGTTACAACTATAGTGCATCTAACAGGCTGATATAGTATTGATGCCATAGACTTGTATTCGGGAAATGCACTGTGTACATTGGATTGGCTACTCTATATCGTGACAGGTTTTTCATTAAATAAATTATTATTATTATTATTGCTTTCTCAAGTCTCTCCAGATGACTGCCAGAACAGTGTTTTGAAGTAAGTCACAATTACCTTAGAAATCTGTGCCTGTTAACACTTCACAGTCATCTTTGTTCTTTGTTTGACAGAATTAATCGGCTGGTATGCATAAAGAGACACTTGGTTTTTTCTCTACACATAACCTCATTTATTTAATTTTATAATAGTGACATTTCATTAAGCATGGGTAAGCTGTACAGTAGTAGTAGTAGTAATTATAATAATGTTAATTACATTTCATTATAACAACATGAATATAATTCATACACCAAGTTTCTTTGTTTAAATATGGTCTGTCATCATTATACGTATATACTAATTATCATTCGAATATTATAAGTACACTCTCTGTCTTTATAACATCAAGGAAAGATGAAACCTAAACATTTTCACATTCCAGTGTATATATATTCTCAGATTATGATCCCTGTCAGTTAATATAGTAAAGATGAAAAGATATTGTACCTAACAGAAGTAATAACTATGTCCAGTATATACAACACATGGTGGTTGTCACCATGATGTTACTTCAGCACTCCCACAATAACATAAATCTTTGCATCAATTATCAGATTTTGGTGTACATGTGTTGCATATTATTCAAAACAATTGAGATTTGAGAAAATATGTAACTGACCTTTTAATATGCATTGCATCACTTTATTTTACATTTTCATTTTGAGTGATTTAACTGTCTTATTTTTTGCAAATAATCATCAACAGTAGTTTTGTATGTATTTTTAAGACTTGTTACACCAACAAAATTCCTAATAATTATTCAGTCTAATGAGATTTGAGCATATGGAAGTTGATTGGAGTGAATCATACTACAATGAGAGCAAATGTAGACAAACCATAATTTGTCTGAATGTGCCTTCCTGCTATGTGACCTCTGGCATTAATTGTATTTTTGTTATGAAATGTTCCATATCCTTGCCTTGGTGCAATGAAGGATATGTGGAATGTAAGTAAAGTATACTCTATTCATTACAGTAACAATTGATGGCATAAAGGAAAGTTTGCAGAAAGGGAAGATAGATCTTTCACATTTTGTATAATATTTACAAATTGTTTGACTGTTTTACTCTAAATAACGACGGAATTTTTTTAAACTTCTTGTATAATATTTACAAATTGTTTGACTATTTTACTCTAAATAACGACGAAATTTTTTTAAACTTTTGCTGTCCAGTATAGCAACCCCTCACCAACTGCGTATTACAAATATATGCGGTTTTACATCTAACGGATTTGCAATGCATAATCCGATCGAATTTTTGTTTCATGTAGGCCATCAGTTTTTTTATTTGTATTCGCATGCAGTTTCACACTTTTATCTCTACATTTGCTAGGGACAGGGTGACTATATCATAGTTTGTAACTAAATGATTGTTATGTATTTCTTGTTAGATCTGAGGTTCTCACAACGGCGAGTTCGAAGATTCTTCTGGTTTGTTCTGTGATGATGGAGGCAGCAAGCACCTCTGAAACGTCGATAAACTTCAACTAGATGGCGCAACAACCCAGTTGCAATGAGGATGTCATTCAAGAACGCTGAGATACAGATGGACTTTGGATTATTATATATATAACGTTTTCAGTTCATAGAAATTTTTGATGAGGAGTAATTGCGCACTATTTGCATGTTATTCGTTTACAGAGTACATGGTCAACGTAGGTATGAAAGTAGGTGGCAGCACTTTCTTCTGTGATTGTATTTAGTGGTCTTGGCTTAAGAAAATGACTGTAGTGGTCTGTTCTGGCATAACCAGTAGGTCTTCCTTTCCCAAGGTTGTTCGCCATATTGGGCAGGTAGGTGAGAAGTGTCTTGATTTTTAACGTGAGAACATAACGTATGTACATTCTAAATGTTTCATAATGTATATATCATGATATTTAAACTTTTCAGGTTATATTCTGTATAAAATGTGGCAGTCCATGTTAGAAACAGCTAAAAACAATCCATTTGGAAATCCATTCCATGTAGCTTATTGCGAGTCCTCTTCGGATAAGAATTTGGTGCCTGGTAGAAGTATATTGGCCGCTGCTGCTACTACTGAAAAAGGAGGTTAGTAGATGATTACTAAAAAGTAATTTGTATGTAGTTTTAGAGCTATAACGCAGTGAGCTTCGTGGTATTTTATTTGAAGGAATTCGAGCGGTATGTTCGGTTTCCATTTTCTGCACGGTATTATTTTTTTAATGTGAGATTTATGCCTACGTTCATTACTTAGCTTGTGTGCTTTTGGCTACATTAATCTCACCTTTATCAACATTTTAGTTTTAACATTTGACTTTTAACAAAAGAAGAAACAATAAACATTGTAATTGCAATCTAATTTATTGAAACCACTACCCAGCGTATTCAGGAGTGTATTATTAGTGCGTGAGAAATGAATTCCTGAAGATGGTGTAATCAGCCACAAACATGTAGTGATGTGTTACATATATACCTTAAATTGGAAGAAACACATTGAGTATATTATTCCCAAATTAAGCTCTGTATGCTTTGCCATGAGAACAGTCGTACCACTCATGACAATAGATACTTTAAAGCTAGTTTACTTTGCTTACTTTCACTCTGTATTGTCATATGGATTAATCTTTTGGGGAAATTCAACAGACAGTAATAAAGTTTTTTACATGCAAAAGAAAATAATTAGAATAATGGC